ACACTTGGCCCAGTGTGTCATTCAAAGCCATTGTTTCCTTGTTGATTTTCTGTTTTGATGACCTGTCCATTGATGTGAGTGGTGTGTTAAAGGCCCATAATGTTATTGTATAGTAATTGTAATATCATTGTATATTGTATTGCATTTGATAATAGTCAATTAGTTCCTTTATGTTTTTTTATTAATTGTTTTATGTGTTTGGGTTCTCTCATGTTGGATGCATAAATATTTACAATTGCTATATTTTCTTGTTGGATTGTCCCTTTTATTATTGCAAGGTGCTCATCTTTGCCTCTTGTTATGGTCTTTGTTTTAAAGTCTGTATTGTTACTTCAGCTTTCTTTTGACACCCATTTGCATGATAAATATTATTCTGTCCCTTCACTTTCAGTCTGCAGGTGTCTTTAGGTCTAGAACGAGTCCCTTGTTGGGATCCTGGCTGGCTCAGTCAATAGAACATGCGGCTCTTGATCTTGGGGTTGTAGGTTCAAGCCCCACATTGGATGTAGAGATTACTTAAAAATAAAATCTTAAATAAACAAAATGGGTCTCTTGTAGGAAGCATATAACTGGGTCTTTGTTGTTGTTGTTTTATCCATTCTGTGTCTTTTGATTGGAGCATTTAGTGCATTTACTTTCCAAGTCATTATTGGTAGTTATGTATTTTTGCCATTTGGTTACTTGTTTTCTGGTTGTTTCTGAAGATTTTCTCTGATCCTTGTCTTTCCCTCTTTCATCATATGCTGGTTTTCTTTAGTGATGTATTTGGATTTCTTTCCTTGCATTCTTTGCTTATTTATTAGTGGTTTCGATTTGTGGTTGCCATTAGGTTTGTATATAACCTCTTCTGCATAAAGCAGTCAATATTAAGCTGATGGCTGTTTAACTTTGAACCCATTCTTTCTCTTCTCCTCCCCATGTTTATGTATATGTTGTCATATTTTAGATCCTTTTATTTTGTGAGTTTCTTGAGTGAGTTTTTACAGAAATATTCATTTTTACTTCTTTTGTATGTTCTACTTTACATACTCTCACTAATGGTCTTCCCTTTCTATTCATAGAGTCCTCTTTAGGTTTCTTGTAGGGCTGGTTTAGTAGTCATGAACTTCTTTAGGTTTTACTTGTCTGGGAAACTCTCTCTCTCTCTGCTTCTATTCTGCCTGAGAGTCTTGCTGGATAGAGTATTCTTCGCTGCAGGTTTTTCTCATGTAGCACGTTGGTCATGCTACTCCCTTCTGGCTTGGGAAAAATCTATTGATAGCTTTATGGGTTTCTCTTGTATGTAACTGTCTTCTTTTGTCTTGCTGCTTTTAAGATTTTTTCTTTTTTTAATACTTTGTTTTAATGTTTTTGTTTTTGAGAGAGAGAGAGAGGGAAAAGAGCACGAGTGGGGAGGAGCAGAGAGAGAGAGGAGAACAGAGGATCCAAAGCGGGATCTGGGCTGACAGCAGAGAGCCCAACATGGGGCTTAAACCCACAAACCATGAGATCATGACCTGAACCAAAGTCAGACACTCAACTGGCTGAGCCACCCAGGTGCCCCTTTAATAATTTTTTTAATGTTTATTTATTTTGAGACAGATAGAGTGTGTGAAAGTAGGGAAGGGGTAGAGAGAGAGAGAAAAAAAAAAATCTCAAGCCTACTCTGTGCTGTCAGCACAGAGTCAGACATGGGGCCCAATCTCATGAACCGTGGGATCATGACCTGAGCTGAAATCAAGAGTCAGACCCTTAACCGCCTGAGCTACCCAGGCGCCCCTAAGATTTTTTCCTTACCACTCTATTCTGCCATTTTAATTACAATATGTCTTGGTGTGGATCTGCTTTTGTTGGAGGTTCTCTGTGCCTCCTGGATCTGGATATCTGTTTCCTTCCCCAGATGAGGGAAATTTTTAGCTATTATTTCTTCAAAGGAATTCTCTGGCCCCTTTTCTCTTTCTTCTTCTTCTGAGATTCCTATAATACAAATGTTTTTACATTTGATGGAGTTACCGAGTTCCCTAAGTCTCTTCTTGTTTTATGTAATTCTTTTTTTTCTCCCGTTTGTTCAGCTTCATTGGTTTCCATGACTCTGTCTTCTAGGTCACTGATTCGTTCCTCTGCTTCCTCTAGCCTGCTGTTCATTCCATCAAGCATGTTTCTCATTTTACTTATTGAGTCCTTTATCTCTGCTATGTTATTCCTTATCTCTGTGTTAATGGTCTCACTGGTGTCCTCCACTCTTTTCTCAAGTCCAGCGAGTATCTTTATGGTCATTATTTTTATTTATGTATGTTATGTATGTTTATTTTTGAGAGAGAGAGAGATGGAGTGCAAGCAGAGAAGGGGCAGAGAGAAAGAGGGAGACTGAATCCAAAGCAGGCTTCAGGCTCTGAGCTATCAGCATAGAGTCTGATACAGTACTTGAACTCACCAACCATGAGATCCTGACCTGAGCCGAAGTCAGACGCTTAACCAATTGAGCTACCCAGGCGCCCCTATGGTCATGACTTTAAATTCTCCATCAGGCTTGTTCCTTCTCTCTGTTTCACTTAGATCTCTGACTGTGGTCTTGTCCTGTTCTTTCACTGGACAGATTCCTCTGTCTTCTCATTTGGTCTAAGTCTCTGTGCCTGTTTCTGTGTACTAAGAAAGTCAGCTACATCTCCTGCTGTTGAAGGTAATGGCCTTATGAAAAAGAGGTCCTGTAGTGCCCTGCTTCGTAGTGTCCCCTGTTGCCCAGGGCCTGGCGCTTCCGGGAGTATCTCCAGTGTGTGCTGCCTGCATGTACTCTGCTGTCGTGTCCTGGCTGCTTTACCTTTCAAGCCAGTCGTGTGCAGAGGCTCTCTTTGCCTGTTGTGGGCAGTGTTTGGTCCCTGGCCTGAATGTGGCAACTTTTAAGTGGATGTGCTCTGGTCTGCTTATGAGATGAAACCTGTTGCCACCACCACCAGAACCCAGGCCTTGCAAAACCCCTGGGTTGAAAGATGTGGTGTGGGCAGGAGTTTGGACCGCTCTTCTGGGGTTGGGAGCTTGCTGTGCTGGGAGTGGGGCGAGCGTAAGTGGCAGCGGGGGTTCCTCTGGAGTGCAAGGGGGCGGGGCTTGTTGTAAGCAAGTTAGGTAGCGAGTGTGGGCACTGCACCGGTTCCCACAGGTGCCCTGTACTTACCCTGAGAGGCAGGGGAGGGAAACGGTGCCTGCTAGTGCCTTTGTTTCTGGAAGGGTCTCTCTGTGAATGTCGCCTCTGTGGGATGCAGTTGGAGAAGAGCAGATAACCTCCCCACTGTGTGTCCCAGATGCTCTTCAGATCTCTTTTTCCATGCTGTGTGTCTGCAAGCTGTTTGCTCTGCTTTCTGTCCAGGAGCTGCTCAATGCCCCCTCCCCCCAACCCCCAACACTCTCCCCTCCCATGCCCATCGACCTTTAAAACTCCAGGCCTTGGGGCGCCTGGGTGGCGCAGTCGGTTAAGCGTCCAACTTCGGCCAGGTCACGATCTCGCGGTCCGTGAGTTCGAACCCCGCGTCGGGCTCTGGGCTGATGGCTCAGAGCCTGGAGCCTGTTTCCGATTCTGTGTCTCCCTCTCTCTCTGCCCCTCCCCCGTTCATGCTCTGTCCCTCTCTGTCCCAAAAATAAATAAACGTTGAAAAAAAAATTTTTTTTTTAAATTAAAACAAAAAACAAACAAACAAAAAAAAACTCCAGGCCTTAAGCCCCAGGTTGCAAGTACTCGAAATTCAGCCCCTCTCACCTTCTGCTTTCCCAGCCAATTGCTATGGGGAATCATTGTCTCCCTGTACTTCCCTGTACGCTAGTCTGTCTCTCACCCTTCTCCATGACTTACTGTGGCTCCCTCCCCACCACAGTGGCCACAATCTATTTCCCTCCCAAACCATGTCTTCCTATTTTCTTCAGCATGGCTTCTTTTCCACCCCTAGTTATGGAGTTTGATCTGGTAGTCTTCAGGTCGGTTTTGGGGGGTATTTAGGAGGATCTGGTAGTTATACTCATGGGAATATATTCTGGGTATATTCATGGGATGAGGTGAGCCTAGGGTCCTCCTAGGTTGGGGTCTGCCACTACCTTCCCTAGCCCCCAGAACACCCATATCTTATAGCAGAATGATGTTCTCTTAAACTGAAAGACTTATTTTCAGTTTATGATCCAGCTACTTTAAAGACTGAGGAGAAAATTCAGGGCCGTTATCACAGATGTGAGAATGTTAATAAATATTTCAGGGGTGCCTGGGTGGCTTGGTTAAGCATCCAACTTTGGCTCAGGTCATGATTTCACAGCTCATGGGTTTGAGCCCCATGTCAGTCTCTGTGTTGACAGCTCAGAACCTGGAACCTGCTTCAGATTCTGTGTCTCTCTCTGTCTATGCCCCTTCCCTGCATCACACACTGTCTCCCTCTGTCCTAAAAATAAGTAAACATTAGCAAAAAATAAAATAATAAATATTTCATATTTCAGGGCTTCTTTAAAAACCAGATAGATAAAAAAAAAATTGGTTGATTGATTTTTGCCTTTGTAGGGAAAATGCCAAGATAGTTGAGTGGGGGCAGTTGTTTTATCTCTATACATTCCCCCCAATCTTGCTGTTTCTTTAATGATGAAAGGACTGTCTTAACCCTAGCACCTTTAATGTTCCTTTTATTCTGAGTAGCTTGGAATATCCCTTTGTCTTCATAGTTTACATATTTAACTGATGGTTGTTCAAGGGTCTTTCTTTCTGAAACTATGGTATCTCTTCTTATGTTGATAAAACTTTGTTATGTCAGGAAATTTTAACAATTTTCCCAGATGGTGATACTTATTTTAACTCTGATAAAAGCCCTTTCGTTATTATTGGAGTATAGAAGCTGTGGTTCTTCAATGAATAGGAATATTTATTTACTTCTTTTATAGAAAGAAACTGGTTGAGTAATTCATTAGCACACCATTTTGCTGATGTTTTGCAAATAAATGAATGTGGATTGTAAAAAAGTCCTTATAAAATCTGTTTTGCACCCTTTTCCCTATAGAATAAAAATATTCAGCTTATAAAATTTCCAATTGTACATCAGCAAGAAGTGAAGATTTATTTTCCTATCAAGCTTACACCCAACTTTCTGGCATTTCCTCATCATCCTATGGGAATATTATATCGTTATAAAGTACAGGTATGGTGTTCTGTAATACGAAAAAAATTGACAAAGAGATAATTCAGTTTCTCTGATAGCTTAATTTATTGAAATTTGGTTAATGTTTAAAAATTTTCCCCCTAATCCTAGTAACATAACCCAGTTTCTGGTGACAACCAAGTTGTTGTTGAATACTATCATCTTGATAAGACATGCTGTACTTTCTGTCTCTCTTCCACATATTCATTACTTGTGGCTTTTGTAAAGTTTTGTCAAGCTCCCTTGTGCCCTTTTTGACATTTTGTGATAGTGCCATTACATAAGCTCCCTTTGGTATTTCCCTACCCAAGTGCCTGCTTTCCTATAGCATCATATCTTCTTAGCATGTCCAGAAATAATTTCTTCTTTTTTTTTCTTTTGATGTTTATTTATTTTTGAGAGAGAGAGGGAGACACAGAATCTGCAGCAGGCTGCAGTCTCTGAGCTGTGAGCACAGACCCTGATGCGGGGCTCAAATTCACGAACCACAAGATCATGACCTGAGCTGAAGTCAGACGCTTAACCGACTGAGCCACATAGGCGCCCCCAGAAATAATTTGTTATATAGTTTTATTATTTCTTAAACTTTATTTCACTGGATTTTACTTCTTTGCTTAAATTTCATTTTCCTCCATTGGCAGTTAAATATAAATAGGGTTGTTATTTTTTCGCAGGTAGAGGGTGGCAGTGGCAACTTCACTTGGACCTCTTCTAATGAAACAGTGGCTGTGGTGACCACCAAAGGAGTAGTGACTGCAGGCCAGGTCAGGGGGAACAGTACTGTTTTGGCCCGAGATGTACAAAATCCCTTTCGATATGGAGAAATTAAGGTAAATAACTCTCCAAAGATCCTTATTATCACCCCTGAGACACTGCTGGCTAAATTTAAGTACAGAACAAATAAAAATAATAAATTTAAGTACAGAACATGTTTTTTTTTTTTTTAATGTTTATTTATTTTTGAGAGAGAGAGAGAGAGAGAGACAGAGAGACAGAGCACAAGCAGAGGAGGGGCGGAGAGAGAGAGGGAGACGCAGAATCCGAAGCAAGTTCCAGGCTCGAACCCACGAACCATGGGATCATGACATGAACTGAAGTCAGATGCTTAACCGACTAAGCCACCCAGGCACCCCAAGTACAGAACATGTTTAAAAATCTTTCTACTCCAAATTGGGTATTTGAAAATGAGGCTCAAATTCAGTCTGAAAGTACATATTCCTTAAATATTTCTGGACCTTGGTTGAATCCTGCTTCACTTCACAGCCAGTTACTGAATGGGTATTCTTGTTTCCTTATCTCTCAAGTGGAGATAATGATAGTATCTACTTCAGTGGGTTATTGTCAGAATTAAATGACTTAAGGTTTATTTCAATGCTTGGAATATATTCAATAATTAGTTATCTATTTTGTTACTGTATTTTGTTATTATCACATGACCTTCGTAATAACTTTATTTTTAGTCTCATATTGCTTGTCTTGATTAAAAACTTCTTTTTACTATATAATCACATTCTTGTTTTTCCTCCACTTTTGATATATGTTAACGTGTGTTGTCCCCTGAAAGACTTAGCGTTTTCTTATCATTCAGTGAACATTTACTAAGTAGTCTTAAGGCACTTAACTCCATACTAGATATCATAGGACATTCAAAGCAACATAACATATCATCCCTGCTTTAAAGAATCTAAATTCTATTTGGGAGATCTATTCACATGAATTTAAATAACATTTTAAGGGAATGATGTGAGTTATTTTAAAGCAGTATATGATTGAGAGCTACTTGAATTGTGTAGTAAAAGTATTATTAATATATAAAAGAAAAATCCTTGTAGATTTGACTACTTAGAGACTGTCATGAAGAGATGAGAATTTGAACAAGACTTTGAAAGATAGAGCCAAACTAAGGCCTAAGGATCAAACTCAACCTGCTGCTTTTTTGATAAACTTTTATCAGAACACAGCCACCCTCATTCATTTACGTATTGCTACTTTCAAGCCACAACTAGAGAGTTGGGGGTTGTCTCAGAAACTGTGTGCGCGCGCCCCCCCCCCCCCAGCAAGCCTAAAATGTTTGCTGTCTAGCTTATTCCAGAAAACTTTTGCTGATTCCCACAGTAGACAGTGGAGAGCCATCCCAGGTTTTTAAGGTCAATAATATGGTAGAGCTTGTGTTTAGAAAGTACCTGATTGTTTTTTTTGTCGGTCACAAGTATAATATTAAAAAAAAAAAGGAATGGAAGATATTTGCTAGTGCTATGTACTAGTAGATTAGAATTGATAGAAGGGAGAAATGAAGGAAAAGTGTCCAGTTAAGCCTGACTTAGTAATATGGTATTGAGAATAGAGAAAAGGGGGAAAATGAAGTGTTATTTTGCAGGTAGACTTAGTCAGATTTGATGCCCAGTGGAGTGGGGAAGACTGAAAGATTTAAAGACAGGGGTTTCTGCAGCTTTGGCAGCTGGATGAATATAAAATGCAAGAAAAGGAAACAGGAAAAGAGGAAGATGATGAATTCAGTTTTGAATACATTTAGTGTGACTCACCTGCAGGGCATCTGGGTGAATATTTGGTATTGATAATAGGGTTCTGAAGTACAACTGAAAGATTAGGACTAGAAATAAACATTTGGAATTATCAGCATATGGTTGGCCATTGAAGTTTTGGAACTGGGTAAGGTTTCCGAGGAAGAGCATATAGGCAGAAGAGAAGGTGAACTCTAAGTAATATGTGTCATTTTAAGGGATGTAGGCAGAACAAGATGAACTAACAGAAGGAGCAAGGAAAGTGACAGAAAAAATAGTCCCTTTGGGCTACCATAACAAAATACCACAGACTGGGTGGTGTATAAACAACAGAAATTTATTTCTCACAGTTTGGAGCCTGAGAAGTCCAAAATCACGGCACCAGCAGATTTGGTGTCTGGTGAGGGAAAATTCCAGATTCATAGGAGGCTGTCTTTTTTGCTGTAACCTCACATGGTAGAAGGGCTAGGGAGTTCTGTGGGGTCTCTTTTATAAAGGCACTAATTTAATTTCATTCACGACCTGATCACCTCCCAAAGTCCTCACCTCCTAATACCATCACTTTGGGGAATTAGGATTTCAACATAGGAATTTGAGGGGGGGGGGGACACAAACATTTAATCTATAGCATTTAATCTATAGCAAAGACAAAAGATATTTTTTAAAAGATACTGAGAAGAGGAAGTGCTTTATATCTGAGGTTAGCAAAGTTTTTCTGCAAAGGGCCAGACAGTAAATATGTTAGCATTTGTAAACCACGTATATATATACTCTCATATTCTTCTTTGTTGTTGTTTGTTTTAAAACCTTTTAAGGATGTGAAAACCATTCTTAGCTTACAAAAACTAAGAAAATTGGGCACTGGCCATCATTTGCCAGATTCTTGCTGTATGGTGTTAGATGCTTTAGAGAAATCAGTTGATGAAGGAATGAAACGAGTGACATGATTAACACTCCCTCCCCAGCACACAGTATATGATACATATTTTTGTACACAAAACATACATATGTGTTTACGTACGTGTGTATTTAAATACTTAAGGAACGCTTTCTTTTCTTCTTAGACTTTCCTGACATAACTTTCTTGAAAGATTAATTTTTTCCCTCTAGATATATGTCCTGAAACTGAACAAAATGGAACTGTTACCATTTCATGCTGATGTGGAGATTGGCCAGATTATAGAAATCCCCATTGCAATGTATCATGTAAATAAGGAGACCAAAGAAGTCATCGTGTTCACAGACTGCTCTCATTTATTGTTGCATCTGAACATGGATAAGCAAGGGGTCTTTACTCTTCTCAAGGAAGGTAAGAGTAAGCCTTTTATTTTCTCCTTTCTTTGTCTTTGAATGAAAGGACCAATCATCAATTCAGAAACTACAAACTATAGTATAAATTCACATATTACCTTTCTTTGTAGTACTTTTATTTATTCCATCAACTGCCTTGTTATGATGTAATTTAAAAACAAAGGCACAGAAATTGAATAGCATTTTCAGAGTCCTTGTAGCTATTCCTTCAATTCCTATGAAGATCTTTCTAATCTCAAGCTTCCTCTTTCTTTAATATATATATCATACATCTTTCTAAGATAGATGTAGTGACATTATTAAATTTATTCAAAAAAAAGAAAGTATCTTTTTCTTTCTTTTTTTTTTTTAATGTTTATTTTTGAGAGTGGAGGAAAGGCCAGAGATGGGGGGACAGAAGATCCAAAGTGGGCTCCGTGTTGTCAGCGGGTTTTGAATCATGAATGGTGACATCATGGCCTGAGCTGAAGTTGAACGCTTAACTGATGGAGGCCCTCAAGGCACCCCAAGAAAATATCTTTTTTTTTCTTTTTTTCATTTTTGAGAGACAGCATGACGGAGGGAGAGGCAGAGAGAGAGGGAGATACAGAATCCGAGGCAGGCTCCAGGCCCCAAGCTGTCAGCACAGAGCCCGATCTGGGGCTTGAACTCACGAACCATGAGATCATGACCCGAGCAGAAGTTGAACGCTTAACTGACTGAGCCACCCAGGTGCCCTGAAAATATCTTTTTCTAATGAAAAGAGAATATGAAAAGAGAATATGAAGAAGCTATCCATAAAGACCAACATCAATTTTCTCTTACCAAACATTATGTGTGATCCTGATTACTATTGTCTTTTAATCAGTAATAACAGTGGGTAGCATCCAACATTTACTTAGCTATTTGCTATTTGCTAGGCTCTGTTCTGAATACTTTTCATATATTAGCTCATTTAATTCTCACAGTACATCTATAATTTGGACTTCTCCCTTGCCAAGTGTACTATATAGTATCTCTTTCGGAATACCTGGGTAGCTCAGTAGGTTAAGCATCTGACTCTTCATTTCAGCTCAGGACATGAGCTCACGGTTCGTGGGTTCGAGCCCCACCTCGGGCTCTGGGCTGACAGCGCGGAGCCTGCTTGGGATTCTCATCTCCCTCTCTCTCTGCCCCTCCCTCACTTGTGAGTACTCTCTCTCTCTCCTGTGTCTCTCAAATAAACAAACATTTAAAAAAATAATGTCTCTTTCCTCTTCTCTGTTCTCAAGGTGTGTCTCCTAATTTTTAGGCCCTCACTATCTCTCACCTAGAATATAACAACATCCTCCTAATGCTGCTTGCCTTTGATAATCCATGGCCACCACATGGAGTTTCATGAAACTCACTTTCATTACTTTTCCTGCTCAAAAATTGAGAGGCTTCTCACTGCTGGTGGAATAGAGCTGAAATCCTTAAAGTTTATGTTCAAGGCCTCTACAAGAAAACCCAGTGTGCCTTTTATAACTTCATATTTTGGCTTCATATATGTCTCTAGCCACACAAACTGCTTAAGTGAAAATTTCCCGTATAGCCACCCTTCACGTACTCCTGCGTATCTCATTTGTATTTCTATCTTTGCTCATTCATCACTTGAGATACATCTTATACATGTCTAAATCTTCCTTTATCTCTCCAACTAGAAGTAATCTTTCTGTTTTCTAGACTCCACGTTTATCATTTTCTTTTTTTAACTTTTATTTTAGAGAGAGAGCATGAGCAGGGGAGAGGGGCAGAAGGAGAGAGAGAGTGAATCTCAGGCTCCAGGCCCAGCGCAGTGCAGAACCCAACCCGGGACAAGATCTTATGAACCATGAAATCATGACCCGAGCCAAAATCAGGAGTTGGACGCTTAACTGACTGAGCCACTTAGGCGCCCATACTTATAATTTTCTATTAATACTTTAATTTATGTAAATGTTCACTTTCCCGTTCTAAACTATAAATGCCTTTGCTGATATATATGTTATGTTCCTCACTGAACATAAAATTGTGTCTTACCTGATACATGTTAATAGAAGGAACAGATTTTTATATAGATTTGATATAAACATTTGGGGCCTAGTAGTGTATGAGATCAAGATGTTTTTTAATGTATTAAAATTCTTATATTTCTATAGACTGATCCCCATTGAGAACTGACTGCTTATTACCCTAATGAAGTCATGTTTTTTTGATTTGCAGGTATTCAAAGACCTGGACCAACGCACTGTTCTAGTACACATATAGCAGCCAAATCTCTAGGCCATACTCTGGTAACAGTGAGTGTGACTGAGTATGAAGAGTATTTGGAGAGCAGTGCCACGTTTGCTGCTTATGAACCCCTAAAGGTGAGGCATTTCATGGTAAGGAACTGGCATATCTTTTCATGGAACCCACTGTGTCCACTTGGAGTCTTGCCAGCTGTCTGTGATTTCTGTGAAAGATCAGTTATATTTGTGTTCTCTTTATTTACCACTCCTTCACTCTTAGCTCTACAGTTCTGTCATCAAGCCTGAGTATCAGGGAGTGTACTCCCTCATGTGTCTGCCACAGGAATATCTTCAAGCTCTATCAGCAAGTTGTAGATCTTTTCATTTCTTTCTTCTTTTTTATTGAGGTATAAAATATGTATAGTAAATTACATTAAGTACGCTGATCTTAAGGTACTATTTGAATTTTTACATGTGCATATATACCTGTAAACATGACTCTGAACAAGATATTGAATATTAGTATGGTCTCTTTTAAAGAACTCTGAAAGAAAACTTGATTCTAGAGAGGGAGGTCGTCATCTTTTACCCTTTATACTTCAAGATTTTCAACAGAACAGTCATTATGGAGGGCCCTAAGGACTGGCCCGTTATAACTGGGACACTACGGCAGGTGGCAGTTCAAAACAAATGTAGAGCCTGGGATGCTTTCATAGTGGATCCCTTCAAGAACTACAACTGATGTCTAAAAGTTCTTGCTAATAGATACACATTCCGACTCAGTGACTCTTGGGACAAGGAGACACTCAATGGGGGGGAATTAACACTAATGAAAGAAGCAAGGTAAGTTGTTAATTGTAATTTTGCATTTTAAGTTGGGCTTATTGCACATTATGCAGCATAAGTATTAAACATATGGTTCAAACATATTTATTTGTTCTCAGTGGATGAATCTTCCTACTTGCTTAATTAAATGAAAGTACTTGGCTGTGGTTCATTGTCATTTCATTAGGTTTTCTATTTTATGATTATTCCTAGCCTTATTTTATATTTATTGAGTCTCCACAAATCAGATGTGCATGGATGAAAACCATCGTTAAAGGAGAGGAAGTAAAATGATGGTTTTCCTTTTCTTTCTTTTCTTTTTTAATTTTTTTAGTGTTTATTTTTTTTAATTGATTTATTTTGAGAGGGGTAGCACAAGCAGGGTAGGGGCAGAGAGAGAGGGGAGGGAAGGAATCCCAAGCAGGCTCTGCACTGTCAGCACAGATCCAGGTGTGGGGCTTGAACTAACGAACTGTGAGGTCATGACCTGAGCTGAAGGCAGATGTTTAACCAAATGAGCCACCCAGGCACCCCTTAATGTTTATTTTTGAGAGAGAGAGAGAGAGAGAGGGAGAGAGAGAGAGAGAGAGAGAGAGAGAGAGAGAAACGAACATGAGTGGGGGAGGGGCAGAGAGAGAGGGAGACAGAGAATCTGAAGCAGGATCCATGCTGTCAATGCAAAGCCGGATGTGGGGCTTGAACCCATGAACCATGAGATCGTGATCTGAGCCGAAGTCAGATGTTCAGCCAACTGAACCACCCAAACACCCCTGATGGTTCCCTTTTCTGTGTAGTGCTTTGGTCACAAATTTTCCCCTTTACCTTCTTAAAAGAGTACATGTGTTCTACCTTTGTTATCAATATTACGTTTCAGTGCATGGTATAGTTCTCAATTTGTCCTTGTACATGGAATTTACATTCAATTCAGTTGATCTGGTTAATTTTGGACTATATATTTAGGAGAAAGGAATAGTTTGTCTTGCTTTCTCAAGGAGGCCTTCTGTGAAACCTTTGACTAATTCTGCTTCTCCTGTTAGAGGCTTGTGTGCACACTGTAGTGTGCCTTCTTGTAATGCTCATTATTCTCTTTACCAACTTCAAATCTGTCTTTCTCAGACCGTGAGCTCCACTGTGAGGCAGGAGCTCATTTGACTTTTTATTACTGTATCCTTCAATGAGCCATCAATGAATACTTGTTGAATTGACTTACAAATACATTATTTAAGAGAGTACTGCCATTAGACACAGGAATGTTTAATTTTAGTAATTTCAGTTATCAGTATGATTGACTAATTCAGGAAAGAAATACTAAGACATGATTTGTTTATATTTTTAGAATGATTTTTCAACCCTGTACTTCATTTTGCAACTTAGTCAATATTGTAGACACTGTGTGGCACAGGAAAATAACCTACACTTTGATAATACTTTATTCTCCTAAAACTTTATTCTCCAAGTTTGTTCATCTCTAAATAGGATACCAATCTTGACTGTACCCCTTAAGTGAGAGTTCTTTGAAAAATGGGATGAAGTGTATAGATGTATTACTTTATATATTTAGGACAAAAGTTATTTGCTAATTTAATAAAATATCCATTTAATGGATAAATTCTTAGAAACATATAATCTTCCAGAGCTGAATCAGGAAGAAACAGAAAATCTGAACAGCATGATTGCTAGTAATGAAATTGAATCAGTAATCAAAAAACTGACAAACAAAAGTCTAGGACCAAATGAGTTCACATGTGAATTCTACCAAACATTTAAGGAGGAGTTTATAGTTATTCTTCTCAAACAATTCCAAAGAATAGAAAAGGGAGGAAAGCTTCCAAATATATCCTACAAGGCCACCATTACCATACTACTAAAACTAGACAGAGACACCACAAAGAAATAAAACTACAGGTCAATAGCACTGATGAACAAACTGCTAAAGTCCTCAACAAAATATTAGCAAAGGGCATATAACAATAGATTAAAAGGATCACTCACATGTGGGATTTATTCCAAGAAAGCAAGGATGGTTTAGTATTCACAAATCAATGTGATACACCACATCAACAAAACACATGATAAAAATCATGATTATCTTGAGGGTGCCTCAGTGACTCAGTTGGTTAAGTGTTCAATTCTTGATTCTGGCTCAGGTCATGATCTTACAGTTTTGTGAATTCAGGCTCTGCGCTGATTATGTGGAGCCTACTTGGGATTAGCCCTCTCTCTGCCCTTCCCCCTGCTTATGCTCTCTCTCTCAAAATAAAGAAATAAACTGGGGCGCCTGGGTGGCGCAGTCGGTTAAGCGTCCGACTTCAGCCGGGTCACGATCTCGCGGTCCGTGAGTTCGAGCCCCGCGTCAGGCTCTGGGCTGATGGCTCAGAGCCTGTTTCCGATTCTGTGTCTTCCTCTCTCTCTGCCCCTCCCCCGTTCATGCTCTGTCTCTCTCTGTCCCAAAAAAAAAAAAAAAAAAAAAAAAACGTTGAGAAAAAAAAAATAATAAAGAAATAAACTTAAAAAAAAAATCATGATTATCTGAACAGATGCAGGAAAAGGGTTTGACAAAACTCAATATGCATCAATGATGAAAAATCTCAACAAAGTGGGTTTAGAGATAACATGTCAACATAATACAGACCATGTATGAAAAAAACACAGCTAACACCATACTCAATGGTGAAAAACTGAGAGCTTTTCCTCTAAGATGAGGAACAGGACAAGGATGCCCACTGTCACCACTTTTGTTCAACATAGTACTGGAAGTCCTAGCCATACAATCAGACAAGAAATAAGTGGCATCTATATTGGTAAAGAAGTTAAACTATCACTGTTCACAGATGACATGATACTAAACATAGGAAATCCTAAAGACTCTACCAAAAAAATACTAGAAGTATTACGTAATAAATGAATTCAGTAAAGTTGCAGGATCCAAAATTGATACCCAGAAATCAGTGGTGTTTCTATATACTAATAAGTAGCAGAAAGAGAAATTAAGAAAATAATACCATTTACAGTTACACCAAAAAGAATAAAATACCTAGGAATAAACTTAACCAAGGAGGTAAAAGACCTGTACTGTGAAAACTATAGAACACTGACGAAAGGAATTGCAGATGACACAAACAGATGGAAAGATGTTCCATGCTTGTGGATTGGAAGATTTGATATAATTTAAAATGTTTTTAAATGTTTGTTTATTTTTGAGAGGGAGAGAGCATGTGCAGGGGAGGGGCAGTGAGAGAGGGAGACAGAGGATCTGAAGCGGGCACTGCACTGACAGCAGAGAGCCCAATGTGGAGCTTGAATTCACGAACCGTGAGATCATGACCTGAGCTGAAGTTGGATCCTCAACTGACTGAGTCACCCAGGGGCCCCTTATTATTATTATTTTTAATGTTTATTTATTTTTGAGAGATACAGAGAGGCAGAGGATACAAGGCAGGCTCTGCACTGTCTGCACAGAATCCAATGTGGGGCTCAAACTCATAAGCTGTGAGATCATGAGCTGAAGTTGAACACTTAACTGACCGAACCACCCAGGTGCCTCAGAATTAATGTAATTTTTTAAAGTTTATTTATTTTGAAGAGAGAATCCCAACCAGGCTCCGCACTATCAGCATGGAGCCCGATGCGGGGCTCAAACTCATGAACTGTGAGATCATGACCTGAGCTAAAGCCAAGAGTCAGACACTCAATCAACTGAGCCACCCAGGCGCCCTGCCCCAGAATTAATGTTATTAAAATGTTTGTATTAGCCATGTAATCTACACAGATTCAATGCAATTCCTATCAAAATACCAACAGCATTTTTCACAAAACCAGAACAAATAATACTAAATTTATATGGGACCATACAAATGACCCTGAATAGACGAAGAAATCCTGACAAAGAAGAACAAAGCATGGAAGTATCACAATCCCAGATTTCAAGATATGCTACAAAGCTGTAGTAATCCAAACAGTGTTGTACTGACACAAAAATAGGTATGTAGTATGTAGATCAGTGTAACAGACTAGAGAGCCCAAAAGTAAACCCAGGATTGTGTGGTCAATCTTTGACAAAGGAGGCAAGAATATACAATGAAGAAAGGAGGATCTCTTCAACAGATGGTGTTGGGAAACTGGACAGCCACATGAAAAAGAATGAGACTGGAATACTTCTTTCACCATGCATAGAAATAAACTCAAGATGGATTAAAGACCTAAATATGAGACCTGAAACCATAAAAAAACCTAGAAGAGGGGCGCCTGGGTGGCGCAGTTGGTTAAGCGTCCGACTTCAGCCAGGTCACGATCTCACGGTCCGGGAGTTCGAGCCCCGCATCGGGCTCTGGGCTGATGGCTCAGAGCCTGGAGCCTGTTTCCGATTCTGTGTCTCCCTCTCTCTCTGCCCCTCCCCCGTTCATGCTCTGTCTCTCTCTGTCCCAAAAAAATAAACGTTAAAAAAAAAAAATTAAAAAAAAAAACCTAGAAGAGAACTGGGGCTCCTGGGTGGCTCAGTCGGTTAAGCGCTGACTTCAGCTCACGTCATGATTTCAAGGGTTCATGAGTTCAAGCCCTGCATCAGGCTCACTGCTGTCAGCCCAGAGCCTGCTTCGGGTCCTGTCTCCCTCTCTCTCTGCCCCTCCCCCACTCATGCTCGCGCTCTCTCTCTCTCTCTCTCTCTCAAAAATAACCAAACATTAAAAACAAAAAGGGGCGCCTGGGTGGCTCAGTCGGTTGAGCATCTGACTTTGGCTCAGGTCATGATCTTGTGGTTTGTGAGTTCCAGCCCTGCTTTGGGCTCTGTGCTGACAACTCAGAGCCTGGAGCCTGCTTCGGATTCTGTGTCTCCTTCTCTCTCTGCCCATCCCCCACTTGTGCTCAGTCTCTCTCTGTCTCTCAAGAATAAATAAATGTAAAAAAAAAAGTTTTTTTTAAAACAACTAAAAATAGAAATACCATGGGGTGCCTGGGTGGCTCAGTTAAGCATCCGACGTCGCCTCAGGTCATGATTTAGTAGTTCATGAGCTCGAGCCCTGCATTGGGCACTCTGCTGTCAGCACAGAGCCTGCTTCGGATCCTGTCTCCCTCTCTCTCTGCCCCTCCCCTGTTTGCTTGTGCACATGTGCTCTCTCAAAAATAAATGTTTTAAAAAAAAATACCATATGATCCAGTAATTCCACTACTAGGTATTTAACCAAAGAAAATGAAAACACTAATTTGAGAGGATACATGCACCCCTATGTTTATTGAAGCATTATTTACAACAGCCAGGGTATGGAAGCAGCCCAAGTGTCCCATCGGTAGGTGAATGGGTAAGGAAGATGTGGTAAGTATACACATGCACAAACTGGAATATTACATAGCCATAAAGAATGAGATCATACCATTTGTGACAACATGGATGGACTTAGAGGGTATTATGCTAAGTAAAATAAAGAAGTCAGACTGAGAAAGGTAAATGATTCCATATAATGTCACAAATGTGGAATCTAAAAAGCGAATAGATAAACAAAAAGCACAATCAGTCTTAGGAATACGGTGAACAGACTGATGGTGGTTGCTAGCTGGGAGGGGTAGGGGTTGGGCAAAATGGGTGAAGGGGAGGGGAGATCCAGGCTTCTAGTTACTGAACGAATGAGTCCTGGGAATAAAAGTCACAGTGTTAAGGGAATGTAGTCGGTGCTGCTGTAATGATGTTATATGGTGACAGATGGTAGCTACACTTGTGAGCACAGCACAACATACAGAGATGTCGAATCACTATCTTGTATTCTTGACACATTTAACATTGTGTGTCAACTATACTCAAAATATATATACATTTTAAATGCCTATACAGGGGTGCCTGGGTGGCTCAGTTGGTGGAGTGTCTGTTTGACTCTTGATTTTGGCTCAGGTCATGATCTCACAGTTTCTGGGTTTGAACCCTACGTCGGGCTCTGCGCTGACAGCATGGAGCCTGCTTGGGATTTTTTTTTTCTCTCTCTCTCTTCCCCTCCTCTACTTGTGCTATTTTTCTCTCTCTCAAAATAAATAAATAAATAAACTTTAAAAAAATAGTAATTCCTAAAAAAAATTTTTAAATGCTTATACAGCTATTGTTCAATACCTTTTATGTGCACAATATTATATTAAATCCAGCTGAGGGAGATAAATTCTCTTTTATTATTTTATTTGTTTTAATGTTTATTTTTGAGAGAGAGAGAGAGAGAGGGAGAGCGCACACGTGCACACACACAAGTGGGGAAGAGGCAAAGAAAGAGGGGGACAGGATTGGAAGTAGGCTCAGAGCTGTCAGCACAGAGCCTAACACAGAGCTTGAACTCATGCACCATGAGATCATGACCTGAGCTGAAATCAACAGTCAGATGCTTAACCTACTGAGCCACCTGGGTACCCTGCATAAGACTTATTAGACTCACATATGAAGCATTTAACACATTTAAACAGCATTAGGAGGGGTGCCTGGGTGGCTCAGTCGGTTGAGCGTCCAACTTCGGCTCAGGTCATGATCTCGTGGTCCGTGAGTTCGAGCCCTGCGTTGGGCTCTGTCCTGACAGCTTGGAGCCTACTTGGGATTCTGTGTCTCCCTCTCTGCCCCTCCCCCACTCATGCTATGTCTCTCTCTCTGTCAAAAATAAGTAAACATTAAAAAAAAATTAAAGGGGCGCCTGGGTGGCGCAGTCGGTTAAGCGTCCGACTTCAGCCAGGTCACGATCTCGCGGTCCGTGAGTTCGAGCCCCGCGTCAGGCTCTGGCCTGATGGCTCAGAGCCTGGAGCCTGTTTCCGATTCTGTGTCTCCCTCTCTCTCTGCCCCGCCCCCGTTCATGCTCTGTCTCTCTCTGTCCCAAAAATAAATAAATGTTGAAAAAAAAAATTAAAAAAAAATAAACAGCATTAGGAGATGACTTAATGTACAAATGAATAGTACAGATGAATGCTGCAAGAACTTAGCGGATGTGGAAGTGGTTGTGGTCTGGAATGATGAGACATTAATGGGTGAAGTGACCCACAGGCCTGAATATATCGGTAGGATCTAAATTAGTACAGAGGTTGAGAAGCTTCCAAGTGAGAGGCATCATGTACATGTCTCCTGGTTTGGGAATTAGCAATCTACGAGTTTTTCGCTTGAGAAAACTGTTGAGTTGACCAATCGAGGATAATTTCTTTCTTTGAATGTCATCAGGCTGTAAACCCTGTGGAAGTGGCGTTGGTGACATGGCGGTCTGCAAAGGAAATGGTATTTGAAGGGGGCCCATGTCCATGGATCTTGGAGCCCTCCCGATTCTTTTTGGAGTTGAGCATGGAGAAGACAGAGAAAATTGAATTAACACAAGTCCGGCTGCCAGCTAAGCGAAAACAGAACCAGTACATCTACCGAGTGCTGTGCCTGGATTTAGGGGAACAAGTAAGTAGAAAATATGTTTTCCCTGACATTTCTTTTAGCAATTAATACTCCAACAAATCTTTTGTGTTTCTAGCCATTCCTTTTCAGATTCTTTTTTTTAATGCTAATTTATTTATTTTTGAGAGACAGAGTGAATGGAGGAGGGGCAGAGATAGAAAGAGGGAAAGCATCTCAAGCAGGCTTCACACCATTAGTTCAGAGCCTGACATGGGGCTCAGACTCTCAAACCATGAGGTCGTGAGCCAGCCGAAATCAAGAGTCAGATGCTTAACCAACAGAGCCACCCAGGGGCTCCCTTTCCTTTTCAGATTCTAATGGATTTCATTTATACTAGACAGGAAAATTGTAATTACCAGTTAAAGGCCTTTTAAAAAAACTTTTGCAATCCTTTAAATGTACTCAAAGATTTTACTCATTTGATAATTCTGACAGTTCACTAAATGGTTCAAGATTCTTTTGTAATCATGAGCTTATTTCAGTCACTTTATCACTATAATTCAAATCTTTGTTGTCTAGACTAGATGTTATATGGTTCCTCACCTCCAAAGAATGCAAGGAAGGGAAAATTAAAGTCATCTATTAGCAATTTTGATTGGTTAGCAATTGTGAGTGGTGAGCAGTTTTGAAGAACCAGTTAGATCTATGCAGATAAGATAGTATGTTGCCTGCCTTTTATCAGTTCAATTAGTTTTATTATTTTAGAGGTAGTGATGGATCCGCCCAGCTATGCCCTGCTTCTATCAACACCAGAAACAAAGGTTTGCAGTTTGGGGTTGAGAATTCAGTGTATGACTCTGTGTAACCAGCTCACAAGAAATCAATATGTGATTTTAATTAATAAGAACTGTGCTTCTTTCTAAAGTCTCTCGTGAACTTTGTTGTGTATGTGGCTGGCTGTCAGCGTCAGAGTCATCACCCCTGTTGGAGCCCTCTAACCTTTTGTCTCCACGGTCTGTTACTCATTTGGTGTTCCACCAGAGAAAGGTTGAAACACAGAATAGTTTTTCCACTTTTTACCAACTGATAACAAAAGATTTGGTGGAGGAAAAGACTGAAGTGATTGATCAGAATTAGGTTTGTTTTTTTTTTTAATTTTTTTTTTCAACGTTTATTTATTTTTTGGGACAGAGAGAGACAGAGCATGAACGGGGGAGGGGCAGAGAGAGAGGGAGACACAGAATCGGAAAGAGGCTCCAGGCTCTGAGCCATCAGCGCAGAGCCTGACGCGGGGCTCGAACTCACAGACCACGAGATCATGACCTGAGCTGAAGTCGGACGCTTAACCGACTGCGCCACCCAGGCGCCCCCAGAATTAGATTTTTTAATGTTCCCTTTGCTTCCAAATTTCCATGATACCTTTGTTTCTCTTAGCACAAGAACTATGTGCATAGATTAAGAACTATGATGATTATGATGTCCAGAGACACCCTGTACTGGAGATTGAACGATTCTAAAGTGTATAGATTGGCCCAGCTGACATCGAGTGTCTACTCATGGTTGCCTCTTGCTCTGCTGTTTCCTTAAAGGCTCTGACATTCCGAATTGGAAATCACCCAGGTATCCTGAACCCTAGTCCAGCTGTGGAGGCTGTGCAGGTACGCTTCATGTGTGCCCACCCTGCCAGCATGTCAGTAACCCCAGTGTACAGAGTGCCAGCTGGTGCCCAACCATGCCCTCTGCCACAGCACAACAAGCAACTGGTGAGTACAGTGGTGCCAACTAATTTGGCACTTTTGTCTTCTGTGCCTTAGAGATAAATGCTCTGAAGTATGGCTTTTGTCTTATCAAAGTTACACTTGATCTTAGCCAAAAGGCCTAGAAGCAATTGTTGTCTTACTCAAGTTAAGGAGACTGGGGGCGCCTGGGTGGCTCAGTCGGTTGAGCGGCTGACTTCGGCTCAGGTCATGACCTCGCACTCCGTGAGTTCGAGCTCCACGTCAGGCTCTGTGCAGGCAGCTCGGAGCCTGGAGCCCGCTTTCGATTCTGTGTCTCCCTCTCTCTCTCCCCCTCTCCTGCTCATCTCTCTCACTCTCAAAAATCAATAAATGTTAAAAAAAATTTTTTTTAAGTTAAGGAGACTGTTTTATTTGTTATTCATTCCCTGATAGTGTCTGAAAAGAGATGATTAAACTAAGTTAGAATTGGCTACACCTAGTGACATTTGATGACTTAATGACTTTGCTTACTGTACATAGGTACATAGTCAGCTTATAATTATGGCAACAAGCAATGGAGATGTCTCCAAACTTCCAGTTAGTTTGGTTAATATTTTTCCCTCACAGATTTTTTTTGGCATTATTGGTAAGTAATAGAATTTATCTCTACTCCAGACCCATGAAGAATAATGATAAGCAATAGCGTGGCTAGTAGGGAATGAGGAATAAATGAGTTTTCTAACCTTGAAACTAGAACATCAGACTATAAACTAAGTGAGGTGGACTTTAATTCCAAGCATAGGAGAATAGAAGTCATTTCTTAGAGAACAGAACAACCAATTATTCCTGTTTAGAGATGGAGAAACTGAGGCTCCTGGGAGTTGAGTAACTTCTCCAAAGTCATAAAGCTACAAAGCAGAACATTCTGTCTGACTCCAAAGCTCTTGTTTTTTACTTTTATACTATTCTGTCTTTTTATTATAAAATAACAAGAATATGAGATGTTAGGGTTAGGAACTCATTTTTTTCAGAACTAAATTCCATGTGAAATATTATTCGAAGTTTATAAATGATTTACTTTTTTAAAATCCACTTAGATGGAGCAGAATAAAAGTTATCTGTATAGTTGTTATTCAGTGTCACATTTTTCATTTGAAATAATTTAAATTTATAAAAAATTTGCGGTGTGCCTGGGTGGCTCAGTCGGTTAAGTGTTCAACTCTTGATCTGGGCTCAGGTCATGATCTCATGAGTTTGAGTCCTACATCGGGCTCTGGGCTGAAGGCTCAGAGCCTACTTGGGATTCTGTCTCTCCTTCTCTCTGCCCCTCCCCTGCTTATGCTCTCTCTCTCAAAATAAACTTTTAAAAAATTTTACAGAAAATTTGCAGGAAAAGTACAACTTCTTATCTTGCAACCATTTAGGAGCAATTTACAAACATATTTCTGCATACTTCAGAATTTATTTTTTTGGAATTAAATATAATATACATACCGTAAAACTGACCCTTTTACAAGTGTACAAGTGGTGCCTGGGAGGCTCAGTCAGCTGAGCATCTGACTTTGGCTCAGGTCGTAATCTGTCAGTTTGTGGGTTTGAGCCCTGCATTTCATTTTTCAAGGATTATTGTGCTCAGTATAGAATTCTGAGCTGGCAGTCTTTTTCTTTCATCATTGGCTTCTGTGGTGTCTTATAAGAAATTAGGTGTTAATCCTCTCTCTTTCTGCTTTTATGATTCTGTCTTTCTCTTTGACTTTGGAAAGTTTGATTATTATGTGTCTAGATGTATGTATCTTTGAATTTATCCTACCTGGAGTTCTTTGCACTTCTTGGATGTTTAATGTTTTTCATCAACTTGGGAAGTTTCTAGCCGTTGTTTCTTCAAATATCCTTTCTTCTTCTTTTTTCTCTCTCTTTTCCTTTTAGGACTCTCATTTTACATATGTTAACACACTCAGTGGTGTCCTGTGAGTCTCTGATGTTGTTCATTTTTCTTCATTCTTTTTTCCTTCTGTTCATCAGACTAGATCATCTCATTTGATTTATTTTGAAGCTTTCTGATTCTTTCTTCTGGCTGTTCCGATCTGCTGTTGAGTTCCTGTAGAGAAATTTTCATTTCAGTTATTACACTTTTCAACTTCATAATTTAATTTTGGTCTTTTATTTATTCTCTATATATGAGACATTATTTTCATACTTTCCTTTAGTTATTTAGACATGAATTTCTTTAGTTCTTTGAGCAAAATAGTTGACTAAAAGTCTTTTTCTCAGGGCACCTGGGTGGCTCAAAGGGTTGAGCACCTCACTGTTGATATCAGCTCAGGTCATGATCCCAGAGTCATGGAATCAAGCCATGCGTTGAGCTCTGCACTGAACACAGAGCTCTCTCTCTCCCTTTGCCCCTCTCCCCCCCTGCACACACTCTCTCTCTCCTTCTCTCTCTTAAATTAAAAAAAATTTTTTTAATTAAAAAAAACCTCTTTGTCTACTAAGTCCAGTGTCTGAGCATCTGCAGGGACAGTTTCTGTCAGCTGCTTTTTTCCCTATATATGGGCTGTACTTTTATTGTTTCTTTGCATCTCTAATAATTTTTTGTTGAAAACTTGACATTTTGTATATTTTTTAAATGTTTATTTATATTTGAGAGAGTGAGTGTGAGCAGGAGAGGGGCAGAGAGAGGGAGACACAGAAACCAAAGCAGGCTCCAGGTTCTGAGCTGTCAACGCAGAGCCCAATGCAGGGCTCAAACCCACGAACCATGAGATCATGACCTGAGCCAAAGTCGGACGCTTAACTGACTGAGCCACCCAGGTGCCCCAAAAAGTTGACATTTTAAATAACATAATCTAGCAATTCTGAAATCATATTGTTCCCCTTAATAGGTTTTGTGGTAGTTACTGTTTTTTGTTGTGGTAGTGGTTTAGTAACCTTTTCTGAACTAGTTTGGTAATGTCTGTATTCTTTCTTTGTCCTCTGTGGCCACCAAAGTTTCTGCTAGGTTAGCTTTGTGGTCAGCTAATTGTTGGATATAGATTTCCTCAATTCCAGGTATATGTGTGGGGATTATGTTAAATTTATAGGTAAATTCAGAATAACTGAAATTTTTATGATGTTGAGTCATCGTTTCATATGATGTATGTATGTTATATATGTTTCATAAGAATATATATCTATCAAGGTCAAATCTAGATCAAAAATAAAACACAGGTATAGAAGATACTTTGAGGGACATTGGGGAAAAATAAATATTGACTATATTAGATGAAACTGAATTAATATTCTTGTGTGTGCTAATACTGTTTTTCTTAGAATATTCGCATTCTTAGAAAATGCATGCTAAATTATTTAGGGGTAAAGCGTCATGATGTTTACATCATTTAGCAAAAAATAACCCAAGGGCACCTGAGTGGGCTCAGTTGGTTAAGCATCCAACTTCGGCTCAGGTCATAATCTCGTGCTTTGTGGGTTTGGGCCCCACATCGAGCTTTGTGCTGACAGCTCGGAGCCAGGAGCCTGCTTCAGATTCTGTGTCTCCCTCTCTCTCTGCCCCTCCCCTGTTCACACTCTGTTTCTCTCTCTCTCTCTCGAAAATAAATAAACATTAAAAAAAAACAACAACCCAGACACACACACTTGGTTGGAGGGTAGGAAATTAGAGGGAGAGACAGATAACACAAGTGGTGAATCCAGGTGAGATGTGTCTCAGTACTCATTATACTATTCCTTCATCATATCTGTTGGTTTGAAAATTGTCAAAGAAAATAGATTGGGAGAAACATGAGCCCCAGCTTCAGGGATATCTTACTGCCTCCTGTGTTGTTTTTTTCCTTTTTTTATTTCTTTTTTTTTTTAATTTTGAGAGAGAGCATGAGTGTGAATGGGGGAGGGACAGAGAAAGAGGGAGAGACAGAATCCCAAGCAGGCTCCATGCTGTCAGCACAGAGACCAATGTGGGGCTTGAACCCACGAACCATGAGATCATGACCTGAGCAGAAACCAAGAGTCAGACACTTAATTGACCAAGCCACTCAAGCGCCTTGCTTTTCTTTTCTTCTTCTTTTTTATTTTTTTAATGCAGATTCCTGTGTCAAGCCTGAGGGACACAGTCTTGGAACTGGCAGTGTTTGATCAGCACAGGAGAAAGTTTGATAATTTCAGTTCACTAATGCTAGAATGGAAATCCTCAAATGAAACACTCGCTTATTTTGAAGATTATAATTCAGTAGAGATGGTAGCAAAGGATGACGGCAGCGGACAGACCCGGCTACATGGTATTATGGTGACTTACAGATCCTTTCGCATAACCTGCTAAATGTTTCTGCACTAAGTATTTCCCTTGAGTGATGGTTTATTTTATTTATATATATTTTTTTCACATTTGTTTATTTTTGAGAGACAGAGCATGAGCGGAGGAGGGGCAGAGAGAGAGGGAGGCACAGAATCCGAAGCAGGCTCCAGGCTCTGAGCGGTCAGCACAGAGCCCGACGCGGGGCTCGAACTCACAAACCATGAGATCATGACCTGAGCCGAAGTTGGACACTTGACTGACTGAGCCACCCAGGCACCTTGGTGACAGTTTATTTTAGATTTTATCATACCTCTCCTTTCATCTTTGATTATTGTATGTTTTAGCAAACATAAATGTAGATTTCCTTGGTTGCAAAGCTAGGGTCTAGGATGCAGTATTTCTCACAAGAACATAAAATTACTTTTTAAAATATATTTATTGCCTATTATTTACCTAATAATGAAAATTTTATTCATTATTAGAAAATATTTATTGGGGTGCTATTAAATGTAAGGGCCAGTGCTAGGCACCCGAAGGTGGAGTGGTACGTGAGATAGTCGCGGCCTCTGCCTTAATAGACTTCAAACATTACAACTGTGTTAGGTGTTTTGATGGGCAACTATGAGGTGCTTTAAGATTTACAATAGGAGAACCTAACGTAGTTCAGAACAGAGAAGGCTGCCTGAGAAAGTAACATTGACACTGAGACCTTAACATTGCAGGGGCAATAGAAAGAGGAGACAGAAAAGTGAGCCAAATAAAGTGAGTGAATCCTACAGAAGGGCCAGAGGAACAAGCAGAGGTCCCGAGAGGCCAGCGAGCCCTCATATGTAATTGCTTCTCAAGCCTTTGCTTGTATCACATTTGCCATTTCACCAAAGCAAGTCAGCTGCCAAAACCGGAGTCAAGGCGGATGAGAACTACTCAAAGGCATGGATGCCAGCAGGCACAATTATATGGCAGTCTACCACAGATCAGTCCCAAAGGTGAAGAAAAAAGGGGTACAATTTCTGGCATGAGCATTTAGACGGATGGTATATCCATTCATGGAATAAGAAACACTGGAGAAGGGGAAGTAAAGATTCAGCCTTCTCCCCACTCACAGGAAGCTTACCCATAGGACAAGTCTAAGAGCTTGGGAACGTGGAAACATAGTACTCAAGTGTATGTAATACTATAATGCTCTAATACCATAATACTGTAACCGTATGGTATAGTTAGTGTAAAAAATGGTAGCAAGGAGGGGCGCCTGGCTGACTCCGTGGTTAACTGTCCAACTCTGGGTTTCGGCTCAGGTCATGATCTCAGTCTTGCGAGTCTGGGCCCTGCGCCAGGCTCTATGTTGATAGCTCAGAACCTGCTTGGGATTCTCTCTCTCCCGCTCTCTCGTCCCTTGCCCACTTGCTCTCTCAATCTCTCTCTCTCTCTCTGTCTCTCAAAATAAAGAAGCTTAAAAGAATAAAAACTGTTTCTGTAAAAAAAATTTTTTTTAATAATAAAGAAGCTGAGAAATAAAGTGGTTGTCCAGGGTCCCTTAGGAATATAGTGGCAGAGTCAACACAAAAACTCAGTTTTCAGTTTCTTGTATATTTCCCCACAAAGTAGTTTTTCCTCTATGCAATAAAACATCATTTGGGAAAAATTAGGGCAAAATTTGGTTTTCTGGAGACATTTTTGTGTTCTACATGTTATTGTTTCTCCTATATCTCCAGGTCATCAGGTCCTTAAGGTACATCAGTTAAAAGGGACTGTACTCATTGGAGTCAATTTTGTAGGCTATTCAGAGAATAAAAGTCCAAAGGTAAGTGGAGACTATTATATTAGAAATAGAAATCAGGGGCGCCTGGGTGGGTCAGTCGGTTGGGTGTCCGACTTTTGGTTTCAGCTCAGGTTGTGATCCCAGGATCATGGGATCAAGCCCCATGTTGGGCTCTGCACTGAGTGTGGAGCCTGCTTAAGATTCTCTTTTTTCCTCTGCCCCTCTCCCCTGCTCGCGTGCACTCTCTCTCTCTAAAATAAAAAAATAAAAAATAAAGGAAAGAAATGGAAATCACTGAAATTTAAGGCTTTTCTTTAAACTTCATTTATTTATAACTTAAAAATCATTTATAACTAACTCTGAGAACTATGCACCTCTCTGATTCTGTTATCTTTGGCATGTGAAAGAACATTGGGATCTTCTCTCAGCTGAGGAATTAAAAGTTTATACTCACCTTTGTGGTGCCTGTGTGTTTCTAGGAACTTTCCAACTCGCCCAGATCTGCGGCCGTGGAACTGCTCCTGGTAGATGATGTAACTATACTGCCTGAGAACGCCACCATCTATAACCACCCTGATGTGAAGGTAGAAGTTGGAGGGATCTAGTGAAATTAGATCTGGTTGGAGGGGAAGAGTATTAGGTTATTAAGGTTAATGTATGGCAATAAAAAAAAAAAAAAACCTCCCTCACATATTGAAAATCAGTGATAAGCATATGTAACACATGTGTAATACCTTGGGTAGTAATACTTTAATAATCATAGTTTGTCCATTGACCTTAATCTTTTAATCTCATACTCTTCCTTCAGTAGCTAGGAATTACTTTCTTTGACTTATTTATAAACCGAATAAAATGGAATATTGTTTGTCTGATCTTTCCATAGGAAATATTTAGCCTTGTGGAAGGATCTGGTTATTTTTTGGTCAACAGCAGTGAGCAGGACATTGTCACCATCACTTACATGGAAGCAGAAAGCTCTGTCCAGGTAAGTTCTAGAGATAGGTCCCAGGTTGATAGTCTCAGGTCAAAGCTCATTCTTATGAAAATGATTGGGAAAAAATGCCATTGTGTGTCTCGAACTTGTTATAAAAATAACATTTGCCTCTTTTTTTTAACCTACATACATTCGCCAACCAAAAACAAGGTTTGGTTTTTTTTTTTTTTCTTCCTTCAACTAGCTGGGCAAGTTTTGCTTCTGGTTAAAATGAGACAGTATAGGAGACATCTAATTGTAAGATTTTCATTAAAAGAGGGTTCGTTTCTATAAATTTCAAAGGGTGGTTAATTAGATGTGCTGTCGACTTTATAACCTGAGGATATAATGTTTTTAGCCAGGATATGACAACTCAATATATTAAGCTATCTTTGTAGTCAGTATGCCAAGGCATTTGCTTTTAGTTGACTTTTAGTAATAAAAATAATAGCTTACATTAGCATAAGTGTATATTTCCTTTCCTTCTAAAAGCTCAAAGGAATGTAACTTACCTTGGTCATAATGTTTGTTTTTAAGAGGGTGGATTCAGCACTGCGTGCAGGTGCCATGCTGGGCAGGACCCACAGCACAGGACAGAAAACCAGGTCTTCCCACTGCTTCCCTCCCGCCCCATGGCCCCCGTTGCACTGGTGATTTCAGCATAAATGGACTGGATTTTCTTCATGAAATCCTTTCCCCATTCATAGTTAAGAGGCTGGATATGTATGTTGTATTTTGCCTCAATTCAGTCAACTTAAACTTTGCTCTTTATCAGTTAGTATTTGTTAAGGGTGCATATTGTGCTGTGCCTAAAACACGTAATGTGACCTCTCAGTTCCCATCACAAAGGAAGTAAGTTGTTGTATTTCGTGCTTTTAGTGAAAATAGTTGTTTTGATTATGCTCAGGGCACGTGTGCTTCTTTACCCAGCTACCATCTTCTTCCTTCTAGTTAGTTCCAGTACATCCTGGATTTCTCACCTTGGAGGTCTATGATCTGTGCTTAGCTTTCTTGGGTCCAGCAGTGGCCTACCTCAGGGTGTCAGACATACAGGAGCTGGAGCTTGACCTGATCGATAAGGTGAGAGACGTTTGCTGTGTTGCCTCAGAGAAGCAGTTGCATCAGAGAAGCAGGCCTCGTTTTCACCCTGTAGCCTCACTTCACGTAGTCTATGTGGCTCCTGTGTGTGCACCAGGACCTTCAGTGATGTTCATGGAAATACCTGTCCTTAAAGAACAATGCTCCGACATACAAGATAAACAGTACTCGCAGCTAAACCAGCACGTATGGGTTAGGGCCATTTGATCAAAACCTGAACGGGAGCATTCAGCGCAACAAAACACTTTGTCACCCTCAAAGAGTTATTAGACTGTCCTTGGTGAATGACATACTCCTACTAAAATTACCTTTCTTTTTTAACAACTAGGTTGAAATAGGTAAAACTGTGTTAGTAACTGTGAGGGCTCTCAGCCCTTCCAAACGCCCATTCCGAAATAAGTACTTCAGAAACATGGAGCTTAAACTGCAGTTGGCTTCTGCCATCGTCACCCTGACGTGAGTGCCACCTCAATGCCTCCTCCCCAGGCTGAGCACCAAGCACCTGCTCTCCCTGTGTTCTTCTCTACTTTTCTGTCACAGGGCCTTTCAGCCCGTACTCTCCCCATATCCAGCTCTGTACAAAGTGCCCCTTCCACGTTCTCAGATATGTTTTGTGGGACAGATTGACACATCTCATGAATATTCCCATCTCATGAAACTTCTTGGATGATATCCCCTGGGGTGCTTCAGGATAGAGGACCTTCAGAAATCTCCCTAGAAGCAGAGGTGCTGGTACTCCCCTCTGTGAAAGGGGAGTACAGAGAATCCAGGGCGGCTTAGGATTTGCAGTTTTGCCAGCGTTTGCAACGTTGCCCTTATTCCTTTGGAGCCTTGGAATAAATATTTGGCCTTCAGGAGCTTCCTGCCTTTGCCATGAACTTTGTCTTGACTCTGGAAATTAACTTTCTGGCTGTTCCCTCTAACTACAGTTAAAATGAACAGAAAATGTTAATTAAAGCATCTTAGAAAGAAGCATAACTTGCTGCTCTTAAAATCAAATCTTTCTCGGGTGGCTCGGTTAAAGTGCCCAACTTCAGCTCAGGTCATAATCTCACAGTTTGTGAGTTCAGGCCCCGCATGGGGCTCTCTGTGGTCAGCACGGACCCAACTTTGGATCCTCTGTGTGTGTGTGTCTCTCTCTCTGCCCTGCCCCCACTCACGCACACCCTCTCTCTCTCAAAAATAAATAAAAACATTTTTAAAAAATCAAGTCTTTCTTACCTAAAAACACATGTGTCTTTGTAGGCTCATGGAGGAGCAGGATAAATACTCTGAAAATTATATCCTTCGAGCTGTTGCTATTGGGCAAACCACACTTGTGGCTGTTGCCAGGGACAAGATGGGGAGGAAATTCACATCAGCCCCTCGCCAGATTGAGGTAAGGAAACCATCTCATCCAGAATCCATACCTCAGCTCATTTACCTTTATTCATCTTTTTCTGTTTAGTTTGCACAAGTTAAAAATCATGTGATGGAAGAAAATGATAGTTGTCTGACTCTTAAAGCAATATGTAATTTACTTTAGGTTTTTGTTTTTCTGTGTAAAAGTAATATGCTTCTTGTAGAAAATTTGGAAAGCAAAAAATAAAGACACAGCATGAAAATCACCTATAATTCCACTACTTAGAGGTAACCATTATTAATATTTTGGTGTATTTCCTTCACTTTTTCCCCATGCTTATTTTAACATGGATGAATCATACTGTTTTTTTCATTCTAATCTTATGTCAAAAGTATTTTTTGATGTCATTAAAAGCTCATTGTTGGCCATTGGTAGTTGTCGAAGCTGGGTGATAGGTACCTGAAAGAGCATTTTCCAATTCTCTCTAATGACCGCTTTTATTCTGATAAGTGGATATATAATTTTTAAGCATTCTCATTTATAATTTTTTGCTACTGTAAATAAAATTTATATTTATAAATGAAGTAAAATACATCTGTGTATAGGATTTTTTTCCTTAGAATAAGCTGCATGATCATTTGTTACGAAATTGACTCTAGTCCATCCCTGTTATCTTTGTGTTTTTCTTCTTCAAGGTGTTTCCTCCATTCAGACTTGTTCCAGAGAAAATGACACTGATTCCAACCAACATGATGCAGGTGATCTCAGAGACAGGAAATACAATTCACCCTTTCTCCTCACCCCACTCTGCCTCACTCCAACACAAAACACTCCCTTCTTCCTATTGGCCTGCTCTTGTCTACTCCCAGCCAAGTACAGCAGGATCTGATAAAGAACAAAATTAGTTCTTTCCTGTCCCCTAAAGAACAGGGTGTAACCTACCTCTTGGAACCCCATAGATGTTGTGTGGCACTTGGATTTCTTCTGCATTTGAGTTGATGTGGGATATGTCTCTTGGGAAGTGGGGGAAGATAAGAGGTCAAGTTGCTTGGACAAAACATTGGGAAAAGAGATATGATTTCTCCCCATGTTCCAGGCATTCACTGGCATGTTTAAATTCCAGGTAATGTCTGAAGGTGGCCCCCAGCCCCAGTCTATCATTCACTTCTCCATCAGCAACCAGACTGTGGCTGTTGTGAATAGGAGGGGGCAGGTTACAGGGAAGGTAGTTGGCACAGCTGTGGTCCATGGCACCATCCAGACAGTAAATGAAGATACTGGCAAAGTCATTGTGTTTTCCCAGGTATTTGTTCTTTGTTCTGCTCTGCTTCTACTTTTCCAGCTGGGAACCATATTGGGGGATGTGGGGTGGTGATGAGGAGGGTGTCAGCAACCCAGGAAAACCCTTTGAGTCCTTTACCTGACATCCTCTGAACCAAGCATAGGAAATATGTAATCTTTAGTATATATAAAAAAAAAAAAAAACAACCCACAAAAACACAGAGTATTTGGCATTGTTATAAGACATAGTCCCTATCCTTAAGAAATTGTTTAGGGGGGGCGCCTGGGTGGCTCAGTCGGTTGAGCGTCCGACTTCGGCTCAGGTCATGATCTCACGGTCCGTGAGTTCGAGCCCCGCGTTGGACTCTGTGCTGACAGCTCAGAGCCTGGAGCCTGCTTCTGATTCTGTGCTCCTCCTCTCTCTCCGCCCCACCCCTGCTGTACTCTGTCTCTCTCTGTCTTTCAAAAATGAATAAACATTAAAAAAAAAAAAAAAGAAATTGTTTAGGGAACAAAAACAATCTATAGCATATTTTGTTGTTGTTGTTGAATGCCCCAAATAAGCACAGAGTAGTTATCGTAAGCATCTCTGCCCACTGCACAGACAGCCCCTTGTAGTCCAAGCTTGCTTCCCTGTTGAACAGGATGAAGTACACATTGAGGTGGTTCAGCTACGGGCTGTTAGGATCCTTGCACCTACCACTCGACTCATCACAGCGACTGAGGTCAGTCAGGTGGCTCCATTCTCAGTGCCTTCCGGAACGCAGTGCCAGCTGGGCAGGGCTTACAGCAGTACAACACAGCCCCACTTCTTTTCAGATGCCAGTTTATGTTCTGGGAGTGACCAGTACACAGACTCCTTTCTCCTTCAGCAATGCCAACCCCGGACTCACATTCCATTGGTCCATGAGCAAAAGAGATGTATTGGATCTGGTACCCAGGCATTCGGAGGTATGAATTTTTTAATAAAGTATTTTATTTAAGATATATATATTGTTTTAGACATAATGCTATTTATTGTACACCTAATAGACTATAGTATAGTGCAAACATAATTTTTATGTGTACTGGAAAACCAGAAAATTCATTTTCTTACTTTATTGCAATATTTACTTTATTGTGGTGGTCTGGGACTGAACCTGCAGTGTGTCTGAGGTGAGCCTCTACTTGGTGATAAATAGCTTTGATGGGACGCCCAGGTGGCTCAGTCAGTGATGTGTCCAACTCTTGATTTCAGCTCAAGTCATGATCTCACGGCCTGTGGGTTCAAGCCCACATCAGGCTCTGTGCTGAGCGTGAAGGCTGCTTGGGATTCTCTCTCTCTCCCTCCCCCCCCCCGCCTCTCTCTCTCTGTGTGTGTGTCTCAAAATAAATAAACTTAAAAAAAGAAAATACGTTTGATGTGTTAATGCACATAGCATTAAGCCTTAATCAGAAACCTGAGAAAGAAAAAAAAGAAAAAGGTGGATGCTACTTTACCCACTGTCACCTGAGCATCAGTTCGAGAGAGCCTGCCCAAGGTGGTCTGGGCACGGAAGCAGCCACCCAGGTCCTTGGAAGGAAGAGCCTGTGGCCAGGTTACCCAGTAGGTCCTGACTCAGTACCCACAAGAATGAAGAATCAGAGGTAGACGTGGGAGAGAACAGAGGGGTTACAGGAGCTACGATTAATAAGGTATTTCTGGAGCCAGCTAAAAAGAAAAGAGAAGTCTAAAACACAGCTACAAAATCTATTTGCAGCTCTTCTGAAAATATTCCTAGATCTGTAGTCTAGGGAACCTCCTGTCTGTCATGGAGTCCCCTGAGCCTAGTTATACTTGGAATGAGGAGAGAGGAAACTGTATGCAGTTGGGCAGAGTCCTGAACAGGGATTCGACTCTTCTTCTTGACTAGCAAATAGGGGTTGTGTGAGAACGGGGTGGCCTGGGCCTCTGCATCTGTCCTACCTCTCCCTTCCTCCAACTTTATCTAAAGGACCACTCAGGGACGCCTGGTGGCTCAGTCGGTTAAGTGTCTGACTTGACCTCAGCTCATGTCATGATCTCACGGTTCATGGGTTCGAGCCCCACATTGGGCTCTGCACTGATGGCATAGAGCCTGCTTGGGAGTCTCTTTCCCTCTCCACCCTTCCCCTGCTCTCTCTCCCTCAAAATAAATAAATAAAAACTTTAAAAAGAAATTTAAAAAAAATTTTTTTAAAAATGAAGCACCACTCTCCTCCAAAAGAAGAAATGATTGAGAGCCGCACAGAGTCTCCCCTCCTTCCTTAGACCCTGCACAGGCGAACCAAGGGGTGAAATGGGAAGAGAAAGGTCTCCGGCGCCCCTCATGTGGGAGGCAGCCTGCACTGTGGTGTCACCATGTAGATCAAACAATTATAAACCACTTTGCTTTAGCATAAGACTTCCTTCCAGACAACTGATTGAGATCCGCATATAAGAAAAGGGAATTTTTATATAGGGGAGGAGGGAAAGGTGATTTTGGAACTTGGGACTCTGTGTCAGAGTAAGGAGAGCTAGAAGAAAGGTCTTGAGGGCTCTGGACAACAAAAAGGCAGGAGAGAGAGGATTGGAAGCAAGTGCCCGAAAGGTAGGCAGGTGTCCACTTCAACACCTGCCTTAGTGTCGGCCCTGCCTTCCCGACGGCCTTGTCCAGTCTGGGCCAGAATGGTGAGTGAAGCTGTGGGAGACAGTCGGCTAGTGTGAGCACTGCCCTAAAGCCCGAACTTTCCTTCTCATCCTCTTGCTTCCTTGCCACCACTCTGAGCTCCGGAGGGTATATTGCCTCATTTCTCCCAAATCAGGCCCTGCTGTCTGAACCTATTTAGGAACTCTTCCTTCATCCCATTCCTCTGTCCATGGATGAACTTCAAGATAACATGAGCTTCTCACAGAGGCTTGCCAGAATTAGGTGAGTGCTATACACAGAGTTCACTTCAGGAGTTCCTGTGTTGTTGGGAATTTGAAAAGAAATAACACTGAGAATAATCGTTGGTACCCTAGTTCTTTTCTATAGACGCATCTAGCATCTATTTTCCTTATTGTTACAACACAGAGGGAAGTGTGCAGTGATAATTAATGAATATTTCTTTTCTTTTTAATTAAAAAAATTTTTTTTTTTCAACGTTTATTTATTTTTGGGACAGAGAGAGACAGAGCATGAACGGGGGAGGGGCAGAGAGAGAGGGAGACACAGAATCGGAAACAGGCTCCAGGCTCCGAGCCATCAGCCCAGAGTCCGACGCGGGGCTCGAACTCACGGACCGCGAGATCGTGACCTGGCTGAAGTCGGACGCTTAACCGACTGCGCCACCCAGGCGCCCCTCTTTTTAATTTTTAAATATTTGTATTAGAGAGACAGACAGACGGACAGAACACACAAGCAGAGGAGGGGCAGAGAGAGAGGGAGACACAGAATCCAAAGCAGGCTCCAGACTCTGAGCTGTCGGCACAGGCCCTGATGCAGTGCCGGAACCCACGAACCAGCGAGATCATGACCTGAGCTGAACTCAGATGCTTAACCAACTGAACCACCCAGGTGCCCTAATTAATGACTATTTCTTAATCCATCTCTGTTTTCTAGGTTTTCCTACAGCTCCCAGTAGAGAATAACTTTGCAATGGTTGTCCACACAAAAGCAGCTGGTCGGACCAGTATCAAAGTCACTGTCCGCTGTATGAACAGTTCCTCTGGGCAGCTTGAGGGGGATTTGTTGGAACTGTCTGATGAAGTTCAGATACTGGTAAGCTCCCAAACCTAAATCTTATTTTTACATGTCAAGGAGAAGAAGGTTCTACTCTCTTATCATCCATGAGGAGCTTGGTCTGGATAGAGGTAGAGAAATTGCTAGAGGGAGCCCTAGAACAGGCTTATAGTTTCTAGATCTTTGTCATTCTTGGTAATTGTGTCTATATAAGTATTGCTATTAGAAAGTGTAGAACATTCAGGGAGGGGGACAATACATAAGAGACTCTTAAATACAGAGAACAAACTGAGGGTTGCTGGAGGAGCTGTGGGGTGGGGGGAGACTGGGCTAAATGGCTAAAGGGCATTAAGGAAGACACTTGTTGGGATGAGCACTGAGTGTTAAACATAGGGGATGAATCCTTCCTCTCTGCCCCCATTTCTCTCTCTCTCCATCTCTCTCTCAAAAGTAAATAATAGGACATTTAAAAAATTAAAAAAAAAACAAAACCCATAGGGGATGAATCACTGGAATCTACTCCTGAAATCATTATTGCACTTTATGCTAACTAACTTGCATGTAAATTAAAAATAAAGAAAGAAATAGAAAGTGTAGAACACGCACTCTCCTCAACTCCCCACACAATGAACATGGGATATGAAACCATAATAACTAAAGAGGGATTCATTTCTGAACTGCTGTGCCTAACACGGATATTATGATACCATCCACTTAGCTATATTCACAGATTTAGAAGGAGATTTAAGCCTAACTTCCAGGAAGGTGTGGAAACACAGACAGTTGGTTTCTACAGGTGTTCTCAGGCTGAAAGCTAACTGGCCTGGTTGTTGTTAGAGTTCAAAAGAAAAATTGTCATTTATGGGGGGCGAATAAGTTTGTTTACCTCTCAATTTGGGCCTGATTTTTTTTTCTTTTTCAATTTTTTTCCTTTATTTTGGCTTTGTTTCTCTGGTTCGGTGAGGGGCAGAGGAAAGAGCACTTTCCTAGGAGGTAGAAAACCTGAACAGTGTCCTTTGCTAATTTGTTATTATAGGTTTTATGTTCTCAAATCTGTATTCGGGTTACCGGAGCTAAAATTAGAAAATTCAGAATTATTTTATACTTAATATCTAAGTGATACAGGGAATGTGGTCCATGTGAATATTGTGAATATTGGAAGCAGGACTAATACTAGATTTGTGCTGTAGAATACCGAGGTATGTTTGAAGTGTGGCTCATTTGGAAAGGAGTGTCGTGGATGGACCCTTAGACTGTGCTGAAGTGAGGTGGATGTGGGTTTGTAGTTGTCAGTTTGTGAGCAGAGGTCACCATTTGTCTTCTCCGGAAATGAGGAAGAACTCATTTTCTCATTATAGGTGTTTGAAAAACTCCAACTGTTCTTTCCAGAGTGCCAGCCTGAGCGAATTCTGATGCCCATGAATTCCCAGCTCAGACTGCACACCAACAGGTAAGGAGAATGGAGAAGGGCAGGCCAGGTTGTTAACCTTACCCTCGGGAAAACATTGAACATGGAAAAAACTGTTGCCTTCTAGGTGATTTTTCTAACACAAATAATAATTTTTTTTTGGTTGAAGGGAAATTCATGTAACATCAAATTAACCATTTTAGAGCGGACAGTTTGGTGGCATTTAGTGTATCACAGTATTGTGTAGCCGACACCTCTCTCTAGTTCCAAAATATTTTCGTCATCACCACAGGATCACCCATCAGCAGTCACTCCCTGTCTTCCCCCACCCTCTCAGCTTCTGGCAACCACTGTGTGAATGTGGATTTCACTTACGTGGAATCATGCAGCATGTGTGTGACCTTTTGCACTGGCTTCTTTCAGTTAGCATGTTTTCGAGGCTCATTTCCATTATAGTATGTATCAGTATTTCATTCTTTTTTATGACTAAGTAATACTCCATGGTATGGATATAACATCTTTAGTTTATCCTTTAATCTGTTGTCAAACATTTGGGTTGTTTTCACCTTTTGGCTGTTGCAAATAGTGCTGTTATGAGCATTCACATACAACTGTTTGAATACCCGTTTTCAGTCCTTTTAGCTGAATAATTTTTTAATGATAAATATGTGATGGGATTTGATTTTTAAAGGCATGGGCAGACCTAAAGTGTAAGACAGGAAGCCATCAAAATTCTAGAGGAGAAAGCAGGCAAAAACCTCTTTGACCTCAGCTGCAGCAGCTTCTTACTCAACACGTCTCTAGAGGCAAGGGAAACAAAAGCAAAAAGTGAACTATTGGGACCTCATCAAAATAAAAAGCTTCTGCCCGGCGAAGGAAATAGTCAGCAAAACCAAAAGGCAACTGATGGAATGGGAGAAGATATTTGCAAATGACATATCAGATAAAGGGTTAGTATCCAAAATCTATAAAGAACTTACCAAACTCAACACCCAAAAAACAAATAATCCAGTGAAGAAATGGGCAAAAGACATGAATGGACACTTTTCCAAAGAAGACGTCCAGATGACTAACAGAAACATGAAAAAATGCTCAACATCACTCATCATCAAATACAAATCAAAACCACAATGAGATACCACCTCACACCTGTCAGAATGGCTAACATTAATTAACAACTCAGGCAACAACAGATGTTGGCGAGGATGGGGAGAAAGAGGATCGCTTTTGCACTGTTAGTATGCAAACTGGTACAGCCACTCTAGAAGACAGTATGGAGGTTCCTCAAAAAAATTAAAAATAGAATTACCTTACGACCCAGCAATTGCACTACTAGGAATTTATCCAAGGGATATAGGTATACTCTTTCAAAGGGGCACATGCACCCCAATGTTTATGGCATCACTATTAACAATAGCCAAAGTATGGAAAGAGCCAAAATGTCCATCGACAGATGAATGGATAAAGAAGATGTGGTACATATATACAATGGAGTAATACTTGGCAGTCAAAAAGAATGAAATCTTGCCATTTGCAACAACATGGATAGAACTAGATTGTATAATGCTAAGCGAAGTTAGAGAAAGACTTCACTTATACATGGAATTTAAGATACAAAACAGATGAACATAAGGGAAGGGAAGCAAAAATAATATAAAAATAGGGAGGGGGCAAAATATAAGAGACTCTTAAATACAGAGAACAGAGGGTTGATGGGGGGGGTCGGGGGGGGGGCATGGGCTAAATGAGTGATGGGCATTAAGGAGAGCACTCGTTGGGATGAGCATTGGGTGTTGTATGTGGGGAATAAATCACTGGATTCTACTCCTGAAATCATTATTGTACTATATGCTAACTAACTTGGATGTAAATTAAAATAATTTTTTTTATAAATAATAAAACCTAAAAATAATAAAAAAATAAAATAAAATAAAATAAAATAAAATAAAATAAAATAAAATAAAATAAAATAAAAGACACGGGCATAATCCAAAGGCAGACTTTTGCTTAAGGAACAAATAAGCACATAACATGGAGAATGGCAGGCATTTTCCTCAGAGTACAGCCTCTAACGGGGATCCTGGCAATCCCTACTCCTTTCTTTCTGGTCAGAGCCCCCAAGAGATGCTACTTGTTCCATTTGTTCCCTAGAGAAGGGGCCGCCTTTGTGAGTTCCCGTGTTCTCAGGTGCTTCCCTAATTCATCTGTCATCGAGGAGGATGGTGAAGGGCTTCTGAAAGCCGGTTCCATTGCAGGCACTGCCGTGTTGGAAGTCACTTCTGTAGAACCTTTTGGAGTCAACCAAACAACCATAACTGGAGTTCAGGTGAGTTCAAGGACTTACTCACAAAAATAGAAGTAATACCATGGCCTGAGAGGCAGATTTCCTGGTTTGAGAACTAGAAACTTCTCTGGAAGTCAGAACAAACTGGAAGATAAGACACTCTTGATGTGGGTACAAGCCATCAAATTAAAGTGGTCTTTAGAGGCCTTGCCACAAAAGGGATCAGCCTCAACTTGGCACACTTCTGAGCAGCTTTGGCAAAAGGATGTGGGAGAAGGGTAGAGTTATTGCTATCAAAATTAGGCTTTGATATTAGAATTTAAAAATTTAGTCTAACACACAAAAAAGTATTTTGTAAGCATCAAATACCTCCCATATTCCAGCCACTTTGTTCTCTCATGTGTGTTAATCTCTTCTGACTAGCACAGAAACCCTGTGAGATCAGCATCACTATCTGCACTGAGCTGATAGTAAATCTGAGACCTAGCATGGTTAAAGGAGGCTCTGAAGGGTGGGGCGGGGGGTGCAAAGCTGGGCTTCTTCGCTGCTTCACACCTTATCTCGCACAGTGTGAAAACCCAAGCTACAGTATTCTTGGTAAATGATCAGTTCTGTAGCAATCAGTATGGAGGAGCCCTCTGCACAAAACAGGTGAAGTGTCTGCAGTCTTTTCCTCAGGAAGCTCCAGCTTCTCTCCACACTCCTGCAGCTTTGAGAACTAAGGAGCCATTTCCTGTACCGTCCCATTTCTTACTACTCTGATTTAAGTCCTCTCACGTCAGGAGCTGCTTCCTGTGAAAGCAGCACACCGTTTATTGCGGACTGTTAACTTCATCCGTCACTACTCCTCTCCAATGGTCCTTCCCCCGCAGGTGGCACCAGTGACATACCTGCAGATGAGCAGCCGACCTGTGCTGTACACAGCCCGCGGGAGGACTCTGGCAGCCTTTCCTGTGGGTGTGTCGCTCGCCTTCACTGTCCAGTTTTATAACAGCATCGGAGAGAAATTCCACACACACAACACCCAGCTTCATCTGGCGCTGAACAGGTGTGGGGCCAAAGGAGTGGTGTGCATGCTGTGGTAGAAGTTGTGCGGATGGGCTAGGGTTATACGGTGTAACTCCAGTAAATTCCTCTTGTGCTCTCTACTCAGAATCTGATCTTTATTTTTTTCATTAGGATGGAAAACACCAGAATGGTGTTGGCTGGTTAATGAAGAATTTCAGGGTGTCTTGGATCTGTCAAGCCCTAATTCACACAAAGCTCCCATAGGGAGCTGGTTGGAGTATTCTTACCAAAAGCTGTACTGGAGGGGCTCCTGGGTGACTCATTCAGTTGGGAGTCTGACTCTTGATTTTGGCTCAGGTCATGATCTCACCATTTGGGGGATCGCGCCCCACGTCAGTCTCTGTGCTAAGGAGCCTGCTTGGGAGCCTCTCTCCTCCCTCCTTACCCCTCCCCCACTTGCACGCAATCTCTCTCAAAATAAATAAGTAAACTTAAAAAAGGAAAAAAGCTGTACTGGAAAACAAATTCTTAATTTAAAAAAAGGGGCTTACCGGCTACTCTGTGTATGAAGGTAATAGACCTGACCCCTGGCCACCCCTTGCTTGTCCTCCACCATAGAACTCTTTCTCAGGATCCCTGCCTGGCTCAGTAAAGCACGTGACTCTTGATCTTAGGGTTGTGAGTTCGAGCCCCATGTGGGGGTGTAGAGGCCACTTAGATAAATAAAAAACTTAAAAAAGAATTCCTTCTGAACCTTTGAGCTGTTGAACAGAAAATGCTGTGAGCAGAGCTCTGCCACCAGAACTGTGTCCTAACTGTGCCTTTCTCGTTTCCTTTCAGAGATGATCTGCTCCTGATTGGGCCAGGGAGTGGGAACTACACTTACATGGCTCAGGCTGTGAGCACGGGAGTGACGCTTTTGGGAATCTGGGACCGGAGGCACCCAGGTGTGGCAGATTATGTCCCTGTGGCTGTGGAGCACGCCATCGAACCAGACACCCAGCACACCTTGGTTGGAGACGTCATCTGCTTCAGGACTCACCTCCTCAACCATGACGGTCCGGACACCTTCCCTTTCTTAACTGTACAGTCGACAGGATGAGAAAGCACTCATTCCTTAGACAATTTTTTCAAAATGATTTAAAATTTTTTCTTAATGTTTATTTATTTTTGAGACAGAGAGAGACAGAGCATGAACGGGGGAGGGGCAGAGAGAGAGGAAGATGCAGAATCTGAAACAAGCTCCAGGCTCTGAGCTGTCAGCACAGCCCGACGCAGGGCTCGAACTCACGGACCGCGAGATCATGACCTGAGCCAAGGGCGGATGCTTAACCGGCTGAGCCACCCAGGCACCTCTCAAAATGATTTTAAATCTGAGGACCTAAGGGCTCCTGGCTGGCTCAGTTGGTAGAGCATACAGCTCTTGACCTTGGGGTTATAAATTCGAGCCCCACGTTGGGTGTAGAGATTACTTAAAAAAATAAAATCTTTAAAAATCTGAGGGCCTCTCTGAGAAATAAGAAATTGTGTACATGTTAACTGATCTGTTTACTGCCCATTTCTCAGAGGCCAGCCAATTAGAAATCAACCAGGAATATTGATCATGCACCTCCTGAACACATAACTTGCTATATTACCATGTAGACGTTACAGTTACCTCGCCTTCTCGCCCATTCCCAGCTTCTGAAGGAGGATAATTGATAAACTGAAGAGCAGTAAAGGATGAAATAAAAGGAAGGAAAGGGCAATAAGGCTTTAGTTCCAAGAACTGACTGAGCACACAGCTTTGTGAGGGACATTTGAAGGCCTAACTCTTAAATATATCATCACTCTAATAAGGTTTGGCCTTGTACTGGGCTGAACTATACTGGTCATCAGCAAAGCGTTTCTGTCCTCAGAAGTACTGTTGAGTTCAGGAAGATCAGTCTTTGGTTAGGAAGTGAGTATTGATTCTCTGGGTTTACAGAAAGCACACCGCAAAGTGGTGGACCCTGCCTGTGTACATTGAAATCATCCATCCAAGTTGGACCAGCAGGGATGGTATGGGTTTGGCTTTGTAAACTCTTCTGGGAACTGTGGATACATGTGTTTGAGTACTGTGATGTGATGTGGGGCCAGACTCTGTATATTTAGGGCTTGACGCAGGGGGCGGCCATTCAGCCCAGGTCAGGCCCCCCAGTCCCATAATGACTGATTTGCAAGGAATCACTACTAACACCTAATCCAGGGCCAGTGAGCTAACCCTGCTTTAGGATTGAAAGAGTTACAAATCATCAAGAGATGATTGCTCATCTCTTGTCAGTGAAACAACACTTCCACTTTACCCCTTTGCTGGGTTTTGTCAGGATTGTCCCTCTGTCTTCCATTCTGGAATTATTTGGGCATCCTGAATCTATACTGGCCTATGGATGACCAAATCCCGGGATCTGTGATCTAACACAAACTCAAGGTTGTGTTCCTCTGCCACCTTGAGACTTAAGCCAAAGCAACAAAACTTCTCTCCTGCAGTCTTGCAGTCTTCTGCTGGTGTCTGTCCGCCAGTAACTGAAAGAGAATTACCCCTGTGTGTATAAAGAGTTTTTCTTTTTCCTAAGGAGAACAGTTAAGGTCTCCAACTAAGTAGCTCCTTCTATGATTCTGAAGGTCAGTAGTTCTTGTTTTATTTTGTGGGTTTGATGGTACATGAAGGGGAGCCTGACATTCAGAAAATAAAGTTCTCTTCAAAGCTGGATGTTCCTCCTAGGAAGAGATATCTGTGTGCTTGAATGGTCTACTGACTGGGAATCTGAATACTCTTAGAGTGACCACCAAGTTACATCCGAGTTTGCGGCCATGTGCTTTCTCTTGTTTTTTTCCTAGGTGAACCTGGGATATGGATGATTTCTGCTGACAACATTCTGCAGACAGACACTGGCACTGGAGTGGGAGTGGCCAGGAGGCCAGGAGTAGCAACAGTCTTTCATGACATCCCAGGAGTGGTGAAAACATATCGCGAGGTAACCCTAACAAGGCCAGGATGACTATTTCCATATTTAGGAATATGCATATAGAAAACACATCTGGTGGTGGGGGGATGCGTGGCAGGCTCAGTCAATAGAGCATGTGATTCTTGATCTTGAGGTTGTGAGTTTCAGTCCCGTGTTGGGTGTAGAGATGACTTAAAAAAAATAAAATAAGGGCCGCCTGGATGGCTCAGTCGGTTGAGCGTCCGGCTTCGGCTCAGGTCATGATCTCACAGCTTGTGAGTTCAAGCCCTGCATCGGGCTCTGTGCTGACAGTTCAGAGCCTGGAGCCTGCTTTGGATTCTGTGTCTCCCTCTCTCTCTGCCCCTAATCCACTCACATTCTGTCTCTGTCTCTCTCAAAAATAAATAAATATTTAAAAATTTTTTTTCGAATAAAATAAAATCTTTTAAATAAAAAAGCATCCTGGGAAAAGAAATACACTCACATGTCAAATATAAAGCCAGCTAGAAAATTTTATTGGAACACAAAGCTATTTGTGATTAGGATTCTTAACCAGGAAAAAAATAAATAAAAGGATTCTTAACCAGAAAAATGACTAGTGTGATCTTATACTTTAAAATATCACTGTAGGGTGCCTGGGGGCTCAGTCAGTTAAGCTTCCGAGTCTTGATTTTGGCTCAGGTCATGATCTCACCATTTGTGAGTTTCAGCTCCGCATGAGGCTCTGCACTGTCAGTGCAGATTCCCTCTCTTTGCCCCTCCCGTGCTCACACTCTCTTTCTCAAAATAAATAAACCTAAAAGTAAAATATCAACTTTGCTATTGGTTGGTACTTGAACATAGGGGCAAGGGTTGAAGCTGAGAAGCTATTCTTGCAGTGGTCCAGGTGAGATATAATGGTGGACCAGGGACCAGGCTGTTAACAGGAAGGGTGAGAAGTTGATCAGAGTCTAAGTGTGCTTTATAGGTAGAGCCAGTAGGATTTCCTGACAGATTATATGTAATGAGTGCGAGAGAATCAAGAATGACTTCAGGTTTAAGAAAAAAAAAAAAAAATGATGGGGGGGGGGGTGGACTAAATGGGGGAGGGGCATTAAGGAATCTCCTCCTGAAATCATTGTCACACTATATGCTAACTAACTTGGATGTAAATTAAAAAAATAAATTTTAAAAAATGACTTCAGGTTTTTGATTGAATAACTAAAAGGACAGAATTGCCATTACTTGAAATGCAGGTGAAACAGTTTTGGTGAGAAGAGTCTGTCTGAGGCATGTAAAGTGGAGGGTCTACTAGATGTCAAATGGATGTGTGACATAGCTGGATGTAAAGGCTGGGAGTCACTGATGCAGAGAGGACAGAGCCCTGTGATCGCTGAGAGAAGTGAACGTAAATAAAGGGAGGGTACAAGTGCTCTGGGAGCACTCCAATGAACTGAGAACTCTGAGAAAGGAAGAGTAACCAACAAGAGGGACTTAGTAAAAAAACAACTAGGGAAGTAGGAGAAAAACTCAGATATCGGTGTCCTGGAAGCCAAGTGAAGAAAGTACAGGTTTCCCCCAGTATCTGAAAGTACAGTGTTCTGTGAAACATTTTGTGGGGATTTTTGATAGTTTATTTATTTATTTTGAGAGACTGTGAGCGGGGAAAGGGGCAGAGAGAAGGAGGGAGATTGAATCCCAAGCAGGCTCCGAGCCGTCCATCTTGTGAATTATGAGATCATGACCTGTGTGGAAACTAAGAGTTGGAGGCTCAATGGACTGACCCACCCAGGCACCCCCATGTGAAACATTTTGTAAGCCAGAAATGGCATAAAGCAAAGAAGCAATTACCATTTATTTATATAGAAAAAAATTTTTGAGCATTCCCAGACAAAAAAAACAAAAACAAAAAAAACCCCAATTCTCGTAGGCTTTTCTTTTTCTTTCTTTTTTAATGTTTATTTATTTTCAGAAATTTTAATTTATTTTTTAATTTACATCCAAATTAGCATATAGTGCAACAATAATTTCAGGAGTAGATTCCTTAAAGCCCCTTACCCATTTAACCCATCCCCCCTCCCACAACCCCTCCAGTAACCCTCTGTTCTCCATATTTAAGAGTCTCTTATGTTTTGTCCCCCCTCCCTGTTTTTATATTATTTTTGTTTCCCTTCCCTTATGTTCATCTGTTTTATCTCTTAAAGTCCTCATATGAGTGAAGTCATATGATATTTGTCTTTCTCTGACTGACTAATTTCACTTAGCATAATACCCTCCAGTTCCATCAACGTAGGTGCAAATGGCAAGATTTCATTCTTTTTGGAATGTTTGTTTATTTTTGAGAGAGACAGACACTGCGCAAGCATAGGAGGGGCAGAGAGAGAGGGAGACACAGAATCCAAAGCAGGTTCCAGGCTCTGAGCTGTCAGCACAGAGCCCGATGAGAGTTTCAACTCGCGGACCACAAGATCATGACCTGAGCCGAAGTCCGATGCTTAGCCAGCTGAGCCGCCCAGACGCCCCTCTCTTAGGCTTTCCTGATTGCTTAGCACACATCTTGGTGACGGATGCACAAAACACATTGAGATAAAGCAGAGACACTCAGTTCAAAGCTACAGGGCTGAATGCTGAACTGCTAAGTGTGGCTCCCGGGGAGGGCTTGTCTGCAGTAGCTCCCAGGGAGGGGCTTGTCTGTGCTGCCGCCTCTGCACGGCTTGCTGCAAAACAAATGCTGAAGGCTGTTTTTGCCTTTTTTTGTAAAAGCAAAAAATCCTCTTCAGATTTCTTTCCTTAGGGGAACCAGGTGCTAACGTCTTTCATAAAAGCAATAGGGCTTAAAGCAAATTTTCTAAAAGTGGAGGGGTTCTCATATTTCCAGGAGGGAGGGAGTGTATGACTCTTGGTGTACAGCTTTAAAAAAAAAAAAAATGAGGTGACATTTAAACTGAATCTTGAGATCTGAATCATGGCACACACAAAAATAAATAAAAACAAACTGAGTCTTGACAATTAGGAATCTGTCTGGCAGATAAAAGAGAAGGCATTTGATTTATATTTTAATTTTAAAAAATTGTAATTTTTTTATTTTTTGAAGCGAATGCATTTTATTCTTTAAAATTTTTTTTTTTTTTTTTATTTTAGAGAGAGGGAACACGAGCGAGGGAGAGAGAATCTCAAGCCTCCTCCCCACCCAGCCCAGTGTGGAGCCTGAGTTAGGGCTCTATCCCACAAGTCTGGGATCATGACCAGAGCCAAAATCAAAAGTCAGACAGTCAACCAACTGAACCACCCAGGCGTTCAAGAAAAGGCATTTTAGACTACAGGCATAGATGTGCAAAGACAAAGACAGATGATGTTTGAAGACCAGTGAATAAATCAGGATGACTTTGGCAAAAGTTTATAAAGGTAGAGAGGGAAAATCAGATAACATCTAAAGAGAACTTGTATCATGGGCAGATAAGAGAGCTGGGACAGAGGCAGCATGAGAAGATAATTTGAGAAGGAGATTGAGAAACATCTCTGTATTAGGAAAGCAGAGAGAAAGGGGTCACAAAAGGCAAGGGAGGGACTGGTCTGTGCTGTCAGAGGCTACAAAGAAGTCAGAAGATCTCAATATCCTCGTTTGTGTACTTTGAATAATCCTCACGTAATTATTCGCTAACAGACACTCATTGAGGCCTCTTCTGTGTCAGCCCTGTGTTGGGCTCTGGAACACAAAGATGAAAAAGACAAGACTTCCCTTACTGAGCATTTAATGTAACTAAGTTGGTTTCAAGGTCCTTGAACATTTGAAAAAACAAGAAACTATGGTGGTACTGAGGAGACTGTGTTAAAATATACATTTAAGATGATATAATGTCATAAATAATGACATATAATGACAAGATTATAAATCTTTAAGTTGAAGATTTTTTGGGGGAAAGGGTCATCTTTATCTTCTCTCATTGTAATCATTAAACATTTGCCTTAAATACAAAGCACAGTACAAGGATATACAAAGTTAAACTAGAATCTCAGTTGAAGAACTTAGATTCTAATAGGAGTGATTTTTAACAAAAATAAAAATACCTGCAGTATAAGACAGAACATTACACATATATTGAAAGAAGTAAAGGACTTTGAAGTTTCAGAAAAGGTTGAGATTATATGCAAGAGAGAACACTCTGAAGAAAGTTGCACTTGTCTTCAAAGGCATTTTATTATGTGTTTATTTTTAAGATTTTATTTTTAATCATTCTGTATAGCCAATGTGGGGCTCAAACTCACAACCCCCCAATCAAGAGTCATGCACTTCGTGGACTGAGCCAGCCAGGTGCCCCAATTTTTAAAATATTTTATTTTATTTTATTTTATTTTATTTTATTTTATTTTATTTATTTATTTATTTATTTATTTATTTAGAGACAGAATGTGAGTGGGGGAGGGGCAGAAAGAGAGGAAGACACAGAATAGGAAGCAGGCTCCGGGCTCCTAGCTGTCAGCCTAGAGCCCGACGTGGGGCTCGAACTCACGAACTGTGAGATCATGACCGAGCCAAAGTCAGACACTTAACTGACTGAGCCACCCAGGCACCCCTAAAAATGTTATTTTTAAGCACAAAGGAATTTTAATAGGAAGTCCTATGGAGGGAAGATGTCAAACGGAATAATGAATAAAGATCTTTTAGCAAAAAAAAAATGTTTTTTTCTTCTCAAAAGTGAACAGATGTTGTGGTTCTCAGATATGTAATGAAGTGGAAGGGCAGTTTGCACTTGTGTGAACCAGATGCTTTTTGGCTGAATGAGTTATGAAAAGTGGAGGGGGAGGAAACAAGATTTTCTAAGAACTTAGGTACAGATTTTCCTTTGGTTTGCCGACAGGTGGTGGTCAATGCATCATCAAGATTGACGCTCAGTTATGACCTCAAGACCTACCTCACCAATAGCCCCAGTTCAGCAGTGTTTAAGCTTTTCATCACCACTGGCAGAAATGGTGCTAATCTCAAAGGTCAGGAGTCTCTTTATAGATCTGGGTGATTGTTTCCATCTTTCCCATCCTCCTTCAATTCATTTACCCCTTTGACGAGTAATCCAGATTTCCTTCTATTTGAAAATTGACTCCACCTCAACAAATAAATCATTGATACCTATGACTGGGTATCAAAAAATGACTGGATATCAGGTTTTGAAATAGGCGCAGCCTAGTCTCTGTTTTCTTTGTAGTTATAATCGTGCCTGAGAATAGGAGGTGGCTTAAACCAGGGATTTCCAAACATGGCTGATTTTCAAGGTTACTCAAGACAATTTTTCAAATATACAGTCTTAGGCTCCATCCCGAAATTTAATAAGTTTGGGATAAGACCTAGGACACAATTTTTTTCAATTTGTTACAGTTTGCTGTCAAAAAAAGGTGGGGCGGGGGGAGGGGGCACCTGGCTGGCTCAGTCAGTAGAGCATGCAGCTCTTGATCTCGGGCTCCTGAGTCCGTGCCCCACCTTGGACGTAGAGATTACTTAAAAAAAAAAAAATAGGGGTGCCTGGGTGGCTCACTTGCTTTAGCATCTGATTCTTTTTTTTTTTTTTTTTTTAATTTTTTTTTTCAACGTTTTTATTTATTTTTGGGGCAGAGAGAGACAGAGCAGGAACGGGGGAGGGGCAGAGAGAGAGGGAGACACAGAATCGGAAACAGGCTCCAGGCTCCGAGCCATCAGCCCAGAGCCCGACGCGGGGCTCAAACTCACGGACCGCGAGATCGTGACCTGGCTGAAGCCGGACGCTTAACCGACTGCGCCACCCAGGCACCCCAATAGCATCTGATTGTTGATTTCAGCTCATATCATGATCTTATCATTTGTGAGTTCGAGCCCTGCATTGAGCTCCACGCTGACTGCAGAGCCTGCTTGGGATTCTCTCTTTCTCCTTATCTCTGTGCACCTCCTGCACTCTCTCTCTCAAAATAAATAAATAAACTTAAAGTAATAATAACAAAAATTAAAAATTTTTTAAACAGGGTGGGGAGGAAAGAAAACTAAAATACAAGAAACTCCTAGTAGATTCTAGGTGCTGTGTTAGCAACTTTTATGTATTTTTATCTCATTTAACAATCTTATGTAGTATTCATCATTTTTTAAAAGTTTATTTGTTTTGAGAGAGAGAGAATGCGCATACATGAGTGGGGGGGGGGGGGGGGGGGGGGGGGCGGAGCAGAGAGAAGGGGAAGAGAGGGAAAAGCCCAAGCAGGCTCCACATAGTCAGCACTGAGCCGGATGTAGAGCTCAGTCTCACAAACAAGTCATGAGATCATGACTTGAGCCAAAATCAAGAGTCAGACACTTAACCGACTGAGCCACCCAGGTGTCCCAATTATCATCATTAAAAAAAAAAATTTTAACATTTATTCATTTTTGAGAGTGAGAGAGAGCATAAGCAGGGGAGGGGCAGAGAGAGAGGGAGACACAGAATCCAAGGCAAGCTCCAGGTTCTGTGCTGTCAGCACAGGGCCTAACGCAGGGCTTGAATTCACGGACTGCGAGATCATGACCTGAGCTGAAGTTGGATGCCCAACCAACTGAGCCACCTAGGTGCCCCTATCATCATTTTAAAGATGAGACATACCGGGGTGCCTGGGTGTCTCAGTCAGTTGAGCGTCTGACTTCGGCTCAGGTCATGATCTCGCAGTCTGTGAGTTCGAGCCCCATGTCAGGCTCTGTGCTTACAACTTGGAGCCTGGAGCCTGCTTCAGATTCTGTGTCTCCCTTTCTCTGCCCCGTCCCTGCTCACACTCTGTCTCTCTCAAAAAACAAACATTAAAAAAAAAGAGAGAGAGAAATACTGAGTCTTAAGAGCAAGTTACATGTATAAGGTAACAAGTCAACAAGTCGGTGGCAGAAGTGGTAGATCTGCTCCACTCAAAGTCCACGTAAATCCTTTCACTCTTTTTTTTTGGTGGGGGGGGGGTGGCGGTAAGAGAACACTCAAAACCAAGGAGAGATGTCCAAAACATACTGTCTATAAAACTTTATTAAAAAAATTTTTTTAATATTTATTTTTGAGAGAGCACAAGTGAGGAAGGGACAGAGAGAGAGGGAGACCTAGAATTGGAAGCAGGCTCTAGGCTCTGAGTTGTCAGCACAGAGCCCAGTACGGGGCACAAACCGTGCGATTATGACCTGAGCCGAAGTCCAGAGCCAGTTGCGTATTGCTTAACATACAGAGCCACCCACCAGCCGCCCCTTGCTAAGTTTTGTTTTGTTTTGCTTTTATTTATTTAATCTCTACACCCAAAACGGGGCTGTGACAACCCTGAGATTAAGAGTCACACACTCCTCTGAGCCAGCCAGATGCTCACCCCTTAAAAAATTTTTTTTTAATGTTTATTTTTGAGAGAGAGAAAGAGAGCATGAGCAGGGGAGTGGCAGAGACAGACACACACACACACACACAGAATCTGAAGCAGGCTCCAGGCTCCGAGCAGTCAGCACAGAGCCTGATGCAGGACTTGAAGGTGTGAACTGTGAGATCATGACCTGAGCCAAAGTCAGACGCTCAATTGACTGAGCGACCCAGGCGTCCAGTTTTTTCAATTTTTTTTTAATGTTTATTTTTGAGAGAACACGTGAGAGCAAGGGAGGGACAGAGAGAGGGGGACAGAGGATATGAAGTGGGCTCTGTGCTGACAAGAGAGAGCCCCATGTGGGCTTCGAACTTACAAACTGTGAGATCATGACCTGACCCGAAGTCAGATGCTTAACCAATTGAGCCACCCAGGCGCACCGCCCCCCCCATCCCTTTTTAAATTTTTTTTTTCAACGTTTTTATTTATTTTTGGGACAGAGAGAGACAGAGCATGAACGGGGGAGGGGCAGAGAGAGAGGGAGACACAGAATCGGAAACAGGCTCCAGGCTCCGCCGAGCCATCAGCCCAGAGCCTGACGCGGGGCTCGAACTCACGGACCGCGAGATCGTGACCTGGCTGAAGTCGGACGCTTAACCGACTGCGCCACCCAGGCGCCCCTACCAATCCCTTTTTAAAAACAAGCTACTGCTGGGGCGCCTGAGTGGCTCAGTCACTTGAGCGTCCAACTTCAGCTCAGGTCATGATCTCACAGTCCGTGAGTTTGAGCCCCGTGTTGGGCTCTGTGCTGACAGCTCAGAGCCTGGAGCCTGCTTCGGATTCTGTGTCTTCCTCTCTCTCTGACCCTCCCCCGTTCATGCTCTGTCTCTCTCTGTCTCAAAAATAAATAAAACATTAAAAAAAATTTTTTTTTAATTAAAAAAAAATAAAATCAAGCTACTGCTTCTATATGTCTCCTCTTTTATAAATTCTTATGACACCTCTTTACCTCTTCTCTGCTTCTTAGGGTCCTGTACCTCCAGTCAGGCCTTGGCCATTACAACAATACTTCTTCCTGAGACCCTTGTGGTGTGCCATGTGCAGTTCAGTAATACTTTGCTAGACATTCCAGCAAGCAAAGTCTTCCATGTCCATTCAGGTTTCAGCATGGAAAGAGGTGGGTCCCATCCCTTGAGTCTGGTGCCCTTGTTCCCATCTTTGTACAGTCGTCACTTCTTATTGGATTGCATTTATACTTTACAGTTTCATCTGCTGTAGAACTGTGGACCCTTTCTCAAGCGACATTTTTGTTCACTCCATCCAATAATATTCAACACGTCCCTAGAACACCCACCCTGTGCTTTTCTTTTGTCATTTACTGTTTTCTTCTTTGCTGGTCCCTGTTACTGCTGGGCTTTTTATCCCCAGCAAGTAGCAGTGTTTGAATGTTTATTGTTGAACTGAAGGATATTCCAAGCAGAGTACATGAACTAGCATGAAGTAGAAATAGGCATGACATTGGAATGGTTTCATATAAATCAACTGATGTAAAATGAGGATTTGTGTCAAACACAGGCACAAGTAGGATAGTGCTACAGCCCAGGCGCCTGCCCTGCAAGGCCAGCAGTGCCGTGCGAGTAACAAGCAGCTACTGAAGGCAGGCTCACTCAGCACACCGGTGGGCACTGAGAACACCCGGTGCCAGGACAGGTGCTGGATGTACAACAGGGAGCAAGACAGGGCTTTGTCGTCACTAGTGCTGCACAGGGTGATCCATCACAGAATAGAGACCACACGGGATGCTGCAGAGTCCGAAGGAGGAGGGGCATGTGACTCCTTAGATGGGGGAGGGAGGGTTAGAGTTTGGTTTTACAGAGAAAGGGCCTGTGGAAAGGTGACGAGGAGTGAGCTAGGTATGAAGAGGCCAGGATATCCCAGGCAACAGAGAGCCTGGAGCTTGGCAGGACACAGAATGGAGACGGAGCAGTGGGAGGCAAGGAGGGGAGGCCGGTGAAGGGGCCACGGCAGTAACCCAGGCATGAACTGATGAGATGGCAGCCCGGAGTCACAGAGGGGTAGGCGTCAGAGACATTTCGGAGGATGAGTCATAGGAAGATTTGGAGAACGACTGGATATAGGAGTGAAGGAAAGGGTATCTGTCAAAAGACAACGGAGTTTGAGCATGGGTAACTAGAACAATACTATTGCCAGAAGTAAGGCCATCGAGATATGGTTTGACAGAGACATGCCTAAACCACGCACAAAGCGTCTTCCACAGACCCTCTCCTGATCTCAGCTGCTCTTGGTTATTACTTCATTCTGTATCCCCTTAATGTCCCTGTTTGCACTGTGGTATTTACTACTCCCTGATATGTTGACTTATGTGACGAGTTCAGCTGTGGGTGCCGGGGACTGTGTTTTCCTCTGGCATCCTCCTCACCAGTGGCCAGTAGTCCGCAAAGTGGAGTTCACGTTTTCTTCTGAATTTGCTTCCTATTCTAAGTCAGCTCAGTAGAGCCTCTGAACCTTCCTGCCTAGTTTTTCATCTTTTTTTCAGGTGCTTATGTCTGCCTGATCAAGGTCCGACCCCAGTCAGAAGGGCTGCTCCAGGCCCTGAGCGTGGCTGACACCTCAGTCTACGGGTGGGCCACACTGGTCAGTGAACGCAGCAAGAACGGAATGCAAAGAACCCTCATTCCTTTCATCCCAGCCTTTTACGTCAACCAGTCAGAATTGGTTCTTAGCCACAGACAGGATGTCGGGGAGATAAGAGTGCTGGGGGTGGACAGAGTTCTGGAGAAGCTAGAGGTATGTGAAGTACTGATCCAAAACATAACCGAAATCAGGGTTTTGAAAAAGGAGTCTTTATTCCTAGTCCAAGAGCGAAGGAACGGTCATTCAGTGACCTGATAAAACTCAACACAGGGAGTTCTTAAAACAGAAGGAAGAAAACCTGTCCCCTTCACAATGCCAGGGGACTCTGAGTGCAAAATTTAGGTCATGAGCTGCCAGTCTGGAAGAGAATGCCAGTGCCATCTGAAAACAATCTTTAGGATTCTAGTTTGAAACTTGTTTGAAGGTTATTTTCTCACAGTTTATTTTCTTCCCTCATCTACTGTAACACACCTGAATGAAAAAGCAGACGACTGGGGCACCTGGGTGGCTCAGCCAGTTGGGCGTCCGACTTCGGCTCAGGTCGTGATCTCACCGTTTGTGAGTTCGAGCCCCGCGTCAAGCTCTGTGCTGACAGCCCAGAGCCTGGAGCCTGCTTCACATTCTGTGTCTCCCTCGCTCTCTGCCCCTCCCCCGTTCACACTCTCTCTCTCTCAAAGTAAAACATTCAACAAAAAAATTAAAAAAAAAAAGCAGACAACTTACTGCCAGATTGCTAACTAGGAATACAGGGCTCTTACTGTATGTGTAAGACTGGAATGCAATACTGACACAAAACTGATTTTCTTTTGTCAAGTGCCATTTTATCTTTTCTCCAAGGTCTTCCCCAGCTCCCCAGTTCTAGTGGTCTCTGGCCACAGGCACTCTTCCCTCACACCTGGCCTGGTGGTCTACCCCGTGAGAGTGGTCAACTTCACCTCCCTCCAGCAGACGTCACCCGTTTTCATCAACATTTGCTGTGTGCTCACCAGTCAAAGTGAGGCTGTGGTAGTGAGAGCTCTGAAGGAGAAGTCTGGTGCAGGTGAGCACTGGGGGGCCCTGCTTACAATCCAGAGGAGTTGGGACCATCTAAGTGTTTCTCAGTTTAGTTTATAAGAAACATTCAGCCACCTGAGCAAGATTACTCAAACTACCTGGGGCACGGATCTTTAATTTCCAAATCTACACAAAATAGAACCTTCGCGCAGCTTACTTATCACCGAGAGATGTTTTATGTAACTCACGTAGTAAAGAGTAGTTATGTCAGTTTAACATGAGCTTCTCCGCGCTGTTAAATGTTTCTTCAAAAGTTGCTGGCAGATCTTTTTGCATCAGGCAAGAGACAAAGGATGATAAACCTAGAAGTCTTAGCTTTCCAAAATGCTGATTCTAGCCGTTACCCAGTTTGGAAACTGTGCCAGGTATGGCTGGGATGGGAACACATGTAGTCATTGAAAAGTGTTAGGAAAGCCAAAGAATCATCCTCCTTGTATCGTCACCTCTACTTGCATATCCCTCCGGAGAAACTGGTCTTTGAATTACTGGGCGTGAATTGGACTGGACCCTACCTAGTTCAACTCCAGTGGAAGGAAGGTCTGTTTCGGCAAGCACCTGAGATGTACTGGTCATGTCCGAAGTGCATTTTATATGCATTTTTCTCTCTCATAACTCTGAGGTGAATGTTTTTCCCTTTAAGAGTTGAGGAAATGGAGATGTTCAAGTTCCCAGCACTAGAAACAATTCTCAACTCTAACCTGTGTTATCTTGTTGTTTCTAAATCTAGAGTTAATGGGTGTCTGCAAAAGCCCATGGATGGAATTCAAGGTGCCGATGACCTTCAATGGGGGGAAATACTGCACCTTTATTTTCAATGAACTTCTAACTGAAAGTTAGTATTTCCACTGACTTTATGAATATAGGCAACAGACCACAGTAACAGCAGTACGTGTGACTTTGTCACCAACAGAATTCAGATATTGTCATGTTCCAATTCTTAAACTTCTCTTCAAAATTACATAAAAATTATAGTTATTAGGTCTGAGGTTAGATCTTTCTTGTTGCTGGAGCATGTTATTATATTACAAAAAGGCGTTTTAACGTTTTTGTTAAGTGTTTAACATTGCTGTTACAAAAGTTTTTTCCACCTTGGTTAACTTTGATATAATTGGTTTCTTTTTTAATGTTTATTTTTGAGAGAGTGAGGGAGAGAGAATGGGGGGGGGGGGCGGGCAGAGAGGGAGACACAGAATCTGAAACAGGTTAAGGTTTGAGCTGTCAGCAGAGCCTGAAGTGGGGCTCCACATGGCCCGAGCTGCAGGAGACGCTCCACCCAGGTGTCCCATAATTGGTTTCCTTTATTCCTACATATTTTGCTTTTTTGCATTTGAAAACATTCTGATAGGATCCACAGGCCAAGTTGTGCACAGCACAATGGTTAAGAACCCCTGCATTTCTCAGAGACCAGAGGGACCAGTGGGACTAACACAACCTCGGAGGTGGGTAGGAGTGGTCAAAGATCCAACCCAGCCTTCAGCTCATTCACACAAGTATTTGAGTGCCCACGGGCATATGCCAGGCATGGTACCTACTGCAGAAATCAGAGTTAAGACAGAGCCTGATTGGGGAGACAATTAGTTTGGGGTAGCCAGAGCAAAGAGGCACTAGAAAGGCTGTTAAATGTCACCCAAGTTTTATCTGGACTCTTACCCTGTAAACATTGCAAGCCAAAAGCTTTCAACAGTGGGACCTGATCAAGAGATAGTATAGAGAATTTTGGTTTTAGTGCATCTATATTTAAGGCAATGTAATTGTTCTTCGGAGAGAAGCGGTTTGCACACAGTTCTGAAACAAAGTCCCAGGAGAGGGAAGACCAGTTACAAGTCCAGAGGTTAGAGGGCCTTATACCAGGGATGCAAAATAAGAACCAGGTAGAGAAGACCTAAAGTTCAGGGAGTTTGTTGGGGTAGGAGTTCATTTGTGGACGCTGAAGAATTTGAAATAACCAAAGTCAGATGCCAAGTGTGCTTCAAAAACAGGTTTTATTGGGGACAAATCAGAATGTTCCCTAGAAAGATCCTGAGTAAAAAAGGACAAGGGGACCCATGGGATTTAAGAGGTGGTTGGTGATGCAAAGAGATCAGAACTACAAGTTCAGGGGCGCCTGGGTGGCTCAGTCGGTTAAGTGTCCAACTTCAGCTCAGGTCATGATCTCACGTTCAAGCCCCAGGGTCTGTTCTGACAGCTCAGAGTCTGGAGCCTGCTTGGGTTTCTTTGTCTCCCTCTCTCTCAGCCCCTCCCCTGCTCATGCCTCTATCTCTTTCCCTCAAAAGTAAATAAACGTTAATTAAAAAAAAAAAACCTACAAGTTCAGTCGCCACCACCACAAACCTGGTGAAGAGAAGCAAGTCGCTTGGAGTTAAAGTACACAGAAATGGTTAACGGACATTTAAGGTAGCAGAGTATTTAAATGCCCGTTTGTAAGTGGAGAAATTACAAGGTTCATGGATTGCCATTTATTACCTAGGAGACAGGAGCAAGCCAAAAACAGGTAGAGGAGCCAAGTACACAACTTCCCTCCTTTTTGAGAGCTTCTGCTGGATACCCATGACCACGCGTTAAGTACAGCAACCTGCCTTGGATGCTTTTAACTGTGACCTTGTTTTGTTCTGTCCAACGCACAGATCAATGTGAAGATTCCAGTGTCCTCCAGAAGTTCCTGGGTTCTCACCAGACCATCCTCTTTACCCTCTTTGCAGTGCTAGCATCAACGGCTTTTGTTTTTCTAGGTAAGGACCCCTTACATTCAGCACCGTGGACTTTTGACTTAAAAAAAAACTGCCTTTATTTAATTTCACCAACTATCGAGAATAAAAATCAGCTGCTTATCATGTCACTCATGACAAGCAGTTGCAACTCATTCAGCCTTCTCAGCGCTAGTCACCTAGCGGATGGGAGGTCCTGCTCAACTTCCCACCAAGAAGCAGTAAACTGCATGTGACACACCCGACCCAGAAGTGGAAACCACTGCTGAACCTGGAGAAAACGGCTCGTTTTGCTCAAATTCTGAGCTATTCTAGATGAAACAGAAACTTAACACGCTATTGTCTATACCTGCATTTTCCTCTCACCTTTTTAAAGTTGAAACTTCTGAGAAAGAGTGCATACACGCG